TCTTTTTCCACCAACGGTTCGCTTTTTCTCAACCATTTCTCAGCATGACGACTCTTTTTCCATCGGAATGTCCACGGATCCGTGTTGTCTTAGCGCGACGTCCGTGTCCGACCGAGGAAGAACACCGAAAGAGAAATTTACGTGATTTAATAGTCAAACTACTACAAGCGGCTAAAATCCGGTTTAGCTATAGGAAGACGCAACCTAATAGAGACGACGGTAATCGCAAACGGTTTTTCGCCTGTTTAACGACACCGTGGCACGCCAAAGATGTTTTACGCTTTCTGATCGTTTTCACGATTACTCCGCTTTAACCCGTAATCATTTCTTTATCAGGTGGTTTCGTAATATTAGTAACGAGGATCTTCCCGAAGATATCGAGGAATTGCGATGCAAATTGCTGGGGAAATATCATTCAACTGTAACAATTCTATTTTAACAAACGTTGCCTATGAAATTTATAAATTTATCGTAGCCGTAATTAAGCCCACGTTGTTTCCTCATTTTATTCGATGAAATGCTTGATATTGTTTGATGCCACGCGTAGCGAATATATTTACTTTCTACACCCTAATTTTTGTCAACGATTTACGAAAGAAAAGGAAGAATTTCGTTTTCGCAATGCGTTACGTTCCGAAAGAGAGACAAAACGAAGAAGGCAAGTATTGACGGAACAAATATTGCGCGTGCGAGATAATCGGTGCCGCGATCGCATCATAATTACTGATTATGCAAATGATCTGTATCCCTTTTTACGCCACGATCGTGTTGGCGATACTGCGGTCCAAGCGAAACGAAACGTACACTCGCTGAATTTATTTCGAGGCGAATCGCGATAAATTTAAATAAATAAATACTCAATCGAATGGTGACATTAAAAAAACGAAACAGATTTTTATTCGCCGCAACATAATTTCACGTCGAACAAACTACCGTGCAAGTTTTTGCCTCGTGCTCACGGTTGGAACGTGATAAGGAAATATACGTATCGAAAAGCAATTAATAAAGGGGTTACGGTAATCATCGAATTGAATAGAAAACAGAGGTAAAAGTGTACACGTGTTTCATTTTAGTCAGAAAATTGTGATCTCTTTTGAAAAAAATATATGGGTTTTTTTCGAATATGTTAAACGTTTTGTTTTTCTACTAAATTTGTACCTTGTGAAAAACCGAACAGCAGATAATTCGATTGATACGAATATAATTACACTTTTTACGTATCGTCGTCATTGCACCGAGGGTAATTTCTACGTTTCAGTAACTGTTTTAAAGAATACTAATGGATCGCTTGTTTCTACAGTCATTTTTGAAATAGAACGAGGGAAATTTTGGAGGGTAGTTTCGCCCCCTAAACTTGGATTACCGTGGCTACGAAAAATACATGCCACTTACTTTCGGCTGCTATAGAACCCTCCAAAGTTTCATCAAAATCTACGTCGGACACTTCGCGGATGTTCCTCGCAGCAGTATGCTCGAATGAGCGACAACCTCTCGTTGCCGTAATAGAATTTATAATACTCGTAAAAGTTAGCAGCGAACCATTTCCGTTTAACTTCCCTAAAAGTTCGTTGATCTGTAGCACAGGCGAAGCAAGGGTGGCGCACCTCAATTATCGATGCAATCTCAAATCTTTCGGAACGAAATTATCCCTTGAGAGTTAACGATGGGCCAATTCTGAAGGCAGTTACAGGCAAAGTGTAACACGAATGACATAATTGTTTCGCGATTGAAACGCAAACGGTAAGTATTTAGGCGCAGTTCTCTTTTCTGCAACATTCGAACGTTTTAAGGCTGTACAATTGGAGCCATTTTTAAGACAAAGGTTTTGTTAAAAAAGTTGATCAGAATGCAGAGTTGTTTCAGGCTACGGTAGCATAATTGGACCAATTAACGTAATTCTCGATGTGGAAAATAACTTTATCCAAAACATATTTTATCAACTACCACTCACGAATCGGGAACGAAAGTTAGGGGTCGCTTACTCTCTGCAGTGATAAGACTGTCTAGTCCAACATTGTTTGTTATGCGCGTTAATAAAGCGGAGGAATGAAAAACAGCTGGAAATCTTCTAGCAACATTTTGTAATTATAAACGATTTTGGTTTCGAATGTTGAATACCGTGTTAAGATAATCTCGCTACGTGAACGTACAGGTAAGCAGCAGGTTTGTGATGTCTGCTTTCTCGAGTAGTTCTATCAATTTCGTCATTCGAATGACGAAAAGGAATTAATTTCTCATCGTCGATATATTAGCTCGGTTTGTACTGTTTAGAAATAGCCTTACAGCTTACTCGGAGATGATATTTATAGACGGTAATTACTTTCTTTAGCGGCTGCCCACGAGCCACAGGCTGGTAAAATACTTCTCCGAACGTTTCTTCAAAGTTACGTCCACTTTCGTCGACTCGAAGTTGTAAACCGGCATTAGTCGATAACTTATTGTATACTCTCTCCGACACTGGTTCACAAATTATAAGCTCAACTCGTTGGTATTCGTGTTATGGTAATTTCTCAAACTTACGAAACATTTGATGTAATATGACGTTGGTCGATACTTCTGTCGAGAAAAGGTTGCTTTCGTCGAACTTTTTCGTCGGTTTTTGGGCTCATTCTACACAATTTCTCAAACGAGTGAAACTTCCAGCTATATGAATCAGTCTATTTGAATGTCATAAATAACGAGACTCTGAATCGATTTTCAGAAGCGAGTTACCAGGACGCGTTCACCAAACATTAACGAGTCGCATCGTGTGTCTGCGTCGGTGCACCTAAGGTGGTAATTTTTGTGTTCTTGATACGCTAACTTGGTGCCAGTTTTTTCACGGAATTGTTCTCGTCGCAACAAATTCTTTGCAAGTAGTTCCACGAACGTATCAATAATAACGTAGCAATTTCCAGCCTCGCAAGCGTTGTTTATACTTTGCGCGTAAACGACACGGTCGTGTAACCGGTTCACGGGGGCGTAAAGGGGATCTGATAAAGTCGATAACACGAAGAGAAAAGCGCGGAGAGTCTCGAGGCTTTATATTTAGTGCGCTCATTTTTAACCAACCGAGTAATTATAGTCGGCGAGGGTATAGCGCGAGAAAACTGTGATCGATAGTTTGTTAAACTTGCTCGATTCGATTCGCGATACCGATCGCGGCGTGTTTCCGCACGCGGTATTACGTTTTTATCACGAGTCTCGCTATGCAATTGATTGGATACGCCCCACGGTGCTCTTTCTGATAAAACTTTCGGTGATAATCGCCAGCCAGCCCCTTGTACACCGTTCGTACATTTGTCTACGACTTTTTACTTTTAAATTCGTGAATATTATATATAAATATAAATGAAATCATTTTTAATAAATTCTGTTAGAGGAGAAGTATGATCGGTTTAGATCGAGGTCTATATATTTTCCCTTATTTTAGCGACAGTTTAATATGTTAAGAAACAGTACACGAAACTTTCATTATCGGTACTCTCTTGTATAAATACGGAAGGAGTTCCCTTCCTCCTCATTAATCGTAACTGTACTTTCTAAGAGCAAACGCACCTATTAGCTATTATACTTAATAGTTATAAATAATTTATAAGCACCTTCGTTAGTTTCAGCATTGCAGCGGTCAGTCGCATTCCTGTCTTCCAATCGAATTCTTTTGTTATTAAATCGTTTCGTAAGAACCAAAGCCGTCGAGTTTCCTTGCATAAAATTTAATTACACGCTCGTTATTAACACGTAATTGATTTGAAATTCGATCAGAGCCCCCCATTCAGGCCTCCGAGCGGTAAATTGAGGCGCATTTTATCGTTACAGTGTACATAACTTGGTCGTCGGGGTCAGTTGTCTGAATTTTAACAATGCATAACCAAGGGCGCGAACTCGGGTCAACCTTCAACAAGCGAACACGGTGACCCAATTCCGCGTTCGGCGGAAGATCCGCGTGTGCACACATGCGAAAAGCGTTAATGCCCCCAAATGGATTCACCTTGCATAATTAATCGATTCGCGCAGTCATCGTTCTCCTTTTTCGTTGCAGTTACACTTCACGAAATCCCAATGAAAGCCTCTTACGAACGGAAGTTGAGTAACAGCTGATCATTATACCCGGTTTTCCGCGGTACTGATGTTTCAATTCCGTTGCCTCGATTGCAGACGGTTTCCCCAGGGGTTGCACCACCTTTGCAGCAAAAAAAAAAAAAAAAAAAGAAACGAAATTTTTGTCGTACGACGGGAAAAGAATGAGTAATTGGTCGTTCAGATTTTGCGATATCGAATACCGTTCGAGTTTATTTGATGTATTCTCGAGCACAACGTGTCGCGAAATATGGGAAGGAAACGTAAAACGTCGATTTTGTTACCTCAGAACCAGACAGACCGCTTACTATAATCTGCCAAGCGAGCATAGATGAAAGTATGCGATGCGTCGCGTTTCCTTTGATAGTCGTCAAAGTGTTCTGAGTGAATGAATTCCTCGTCGAATCGGGAAGTTGTTTGAACCTCCCGTAGATCACTGTTCTTTCTGTGTCAGCATTCCGCGCTGGTCGCGGAGAGAGAGAAAGTATTAAAAGTGGGAACTGGAACGGTTGTCTCGACCAAATTTTATTCGCGAATTATTCCTCTTTTTAATCGAATACGCGCGAAATTGTTTCTAATTTGAATTTCACGCCAACGCGCGCGCAAACCGTGAAATTTTTCCAGAACGGAGCGAAAGGGAATAATAAATGAAGGGGAAGGTCGGAGGACTCCGAAGAAAAAAAAATTAGGAGTAGTATATTTTCAATGGGAGATCATGATTAAAAGTAAGGCGTAGCTTACTTGCCATGCCTGGCCTAAGATGAAGTGAATTTTTTATTAGGAAGCATTCTTCACCGTTAAAATCGCTTCTTTTATATTTTTCTTAACAAAAGGAGTGCATCGACACCAATCGCCATGAACCTTATATTTATTATTCGAAGCGTGTTGGCTATAACCCGAATTTATTTTACTAAAACAGAATATTCTGCTTTTTGTTTCAGAGGCCAAGCAAGATGACGACTATAGTAGCGCATCTGGTCCACGGATACAGGGACATAATGGATAATAGATCAGGTAAAGCGATTTTCTTCTAATGATTGTCGTATAATGATCTTGATCGAAAAAAAAACAATAATCCACACGGCATTGTCGGGCAATAAAAGATAAAATATTGGCAAAGTAGACAAAGTGACGAGTAGGTAGGTAGGTAGGTACACTTCGTATTACGTTATTAGTAATACAATATAACGTTAGTTAGATTAATTTGCCTTGCTCGTGAAAAATTTGAGCCAAAAACGATCTAGAGGCACGCTGGGTGGCACAGATACAAAGTTACTGAAATTCTCTCGAGATTATTTCGATCCCGAGGCGGCCACTGAAATCCCAGCCAGGAGAAATGCGACAGATTCCTTGGGAAAGCTTTCGCAACACCTGTCAAACGAGGACAAGAATCTACGCGATTCGCCGGAAAGAGAGACACGCCGCGACGATGGGAGACGAGGCGTATTTGTCGTGCATATTTTCAAAATGACCCCTCGCTCCTCGCGCGAAGCCGCGTGTGTCAATAAAGTGTCGTAATGTCGCTTCCATCATGTTCCCGATTTCCCTACGATCGGCTCGAGAACTCTCGAGCCCCGTTCAGACCAGTCATTCTGGAATTTCGAGACGCGCAACTATTGGCCAAACGAATGAAAACCGACGAACCGCCTCGTCAGCGTTTCCCAAACCGAACCAGCCGCTCGTGAAATACCTTTCTTGGAATATGTTAGCGCAATCTGCTCCCCTCAGGTATTCTCGAATTAATGGATGATAATTCACCAGTCTGGAACGAGCTGTTATTTAAAAAAATTCTTAGACGCGTTGTATTCCGTTGACGAAATTCTTTTGGCTTCGTAAGCTTGTAATTTTTGGAATTTTCTATCTCGTCCAAAGAAGATAGATTTGATTCTTTTGCCTGTTTGTATAGGATGAATAACTTAAAAAATTTCGATGATCCTTGAAACAAGCTATTTTAAGACCCGAAACCGCAAAAGAATTAGAATAGAAGGGGTTACTATAAACTAGTCGAACCCTAAAAGACCAAATGAAAGTTGTGTACCTTGTGTTTTTATGGAACCAGTCCACGACAGACTACCCCAAAAAGAGCAATTTCGCAAGCACTTGCTTTCGTTCTTGCATTTCGCACGTATTTTCTGCCATTAACGACTGCCCTCGTCTCAGCGAAACTCGATCCACGGAATTTTTTCCCCGGATTTTTTCGTCCGGCAACGATCCGCCACACACAATCACCGCACACGTTTTCGCTTTGAAGTAAGCTGAATTTTTCTAGAGGTGAATCAGTCGATCGGTTCGAAACGACATGTCCATTTCTCGATGCGGTCCAACGAATCGTGAAATACTTTACTTGGAATATATTAACGCAACCCGCTCTCCAGGGTTATTCCGCGATTCCTGTTCTCAGCGTAAACACCGCTTTCGTTTGCTCTTGTTTCCTGCAAGGATCTTATTGCGGACGCAGAGTGGAATCCCGCTTGATCTGCGTCGTGTTTTTAAATCAACTTTTTACTTAATTCGAGATCATATTCCCAGGATGATTCAGCGGATTTCCTTTGTGTCTTAAGTTTCTTGGTAACTTCCTACGAACCATCGGGATGACAGATATCAATTTACAAACTGCAGAAGCAATCGAAAGATTGCGAGGAAAAACGTGTTTCTAGGAGAAAGGGATATTTTAGAGTCGATGTTAGACGTTCAGGTACGCGTTACCGTGATAAAATAATTAAAAAAAAAAAAAAAAAAAAAATAGCAATCAAAAATTCAATTTTATCTATCTATACATAGTAACAGCTAATCAATGACACTATCTTTTAAGCAGCGTTTCGTACAGGTACAGAGAACGTTACAGGCAAAAATGTGCATTTTTATTTATACTGTCGTTTAGAATAGACCATGACTTGCAAAATTTGGAGTACAAACAAACTCTGCACAAGTATCAAACCTTGGTTTAGCCAAGATAAAGGGATGGAAAGAGGGAACATACGTTAACCCTCGTCTTTTATTTCGCCCCACTCCGTGAGAAACTAAATAAAAAATTTCACTTTGTCGAGGTGGGATGGTGCAACTCGATGGACACTGTTCCACTTGCAATGTTTTGCAAGTCACGTGGCGGTGAAGTGCCGCGGTGGCGGAACGTTTGAAAGTAGACGGGGTTGGACGTTGTTCGTCGAGACGATCGCGTTGCGTTTCCTTGCCACAGCTCTCAGGTTTCCGCGCCATCGTGGATTGATTCGCGAGCAGATCGTTGTAACCTGCATAGGGACTTGCGAGGGGTTAAGGGGCTCGAATTGACCGGCCCTTTTTTTTTTTCATGTTCCCATGGTAGAACGGCGCGTGGATTATCGATTTAATATCGGCAAGCCAAGCAGGCCGTATTTTCCGCTAATCGTGTCACGTGTAGACCAAGAGGCGCCACTTGCCTGATTACACCGTACCTACTGCATCAGTGGAATCCGTTCTTGCATTTACTTTCGACGGTCGTTCGATTAACGCGTTCAACGCCGCGCGAAATTGAAGGCTTCCAGGGAGAACCCGTGGAAACAGGTCAAATCGTTACCTTGCGATATTCGGTGATACGAAAGTAGCTATTGTGCCGAGTTCTGCGTGCTTTCGTTCTTCTTTCTCTCCTGTTTCGCGCGAGTATCGAGCCGATCGATCTGCCGGTACCCTTAACGAAAGATCTGCTCTTCGACGGGATATCGGTGACGCGGATAACACGGTTGACTAGCTAACAAATATTTTTCACGAGATTGTTACGTGTGTCGTTCGTGGAAATAGGATTCGTTTCGATCGGGCGTATTGTGTCTTCTGAAAAAATTCGTTTCGTCTTCGTCGAGGGTATCGAACTCTGTTTAGTCGATTAGCGCAATGGGTTCTTACTGCTTTGACCGTCCGAATTCGATTCTTTTGCTAAGAGTCCTGAGTAAGGAATTTTCTTCTTGCACACGATTGAATTACCGTGACGTACGTAATCTCCGAGTATCAGCAGTAGAACCCGCGAGTGGCAATATTTTACGCCTGTCCGATAAAAGCAACGACTTCTGTAGACTGGTTCTCGTACAGCGTGGAGCGACTTACAGTGAAAGCTCTTTAAGTCCCTGCGCGGTAGCCGTCTATCGCAAGGGGTTGATATCGCAAGAGTTGTCGAATTAGAGATGTGGTTTACTGGCGTGTTACAAGGGCGTTTTATACTCGAGGGTTGTAACGGTTAATGTATGCTCCCTGCGCGGTACAAACACGCCCTTAACATTGAGTTTTTCGTATTGGCAATTTCTACGAGGCGAGGGTGGATGCGCCTCGAGGGATTAACCGCCTCAGCGGCGCCAGAACAGAGGGTATTTCCTCGAGTTCTTTTTAACAGTACCATACCACCGATCGAAATGAATTTTTTTGTGTAAATAAAAGATGCAATGATGTACTCGTCGATACTACCACGTAATATTTTTGTTTCGCTCAAGTTACGTCCGTCACTGCTCCCCAAGCGATGGACGGTCGCGCGTGTTGGTGCCTGTGACGAGGTAAATAGAGTGCTCGTAGGAAGTGGATAGTTTCTAGCTTCCCCCTTCGATAATCAGTACCATTATCGTGTTCTACGATTCTTGGAAGTCAGTCTACGATGACTAACGGTTGAAAAGACTCATGGTCAAGCCCGTATGGTGCGCACGACTGCCCCAAGAATCCCAGTTCACCCACTGTCGGTCGGCGAGTGTGTCATTTAGGTGACGAGTCGTAAATTCGTTCGACCCTGTAACGTACCGAGGGGTACCACGAATGCACCGTCCCTATCGCTAATTAATGCAATAGAGCGGCGTTGAAATTGAATTACGCCAATTGAGGAAAGTCGAAATGAACATCGTTGTACCGGTTCCTTGCGAACGATTCGTGTGGAGGTGTTCCCATGTTACTAGGAAAATGTTAAACGAGTAGAAATTTAGAGTAATTGTTCGGATTCGAGTTATTTTCAGTGAACGTGAGTTTTGTTGAAATTTGTATTTGACGTTACAACGACTGAATTATAAATATGTGGGATTAGAAGAAAACTAACGTGTATCGATTATAGAGGCCGTCGAGGAACGTTTCGATGACTCGGACTGCGAGTCATGCAACGGCTCGCTCGTTTAGCCGATGACATAGTATGTGGGTCAGAGCAGAACTGTAAAAATGTTAGCCACCGCTGGAGGATAGTCTTGTAACAACATGTCGGTTTCGAATGTGGCCAGGTCTTTTCACAGAAATACGATACTTTGTATGCCTTCGGTAAATTCGATATAATCTTTCGTACGATAGACCTGCGAGCACGAATGTTACACGACGTTTGCAAAACAACTCGAGGATTCTAAATAGGTTCGAGGTGCATCGAGCAGAGGTTCTCGATCTGTAAAACGAAACGGAGGAAGACTAAAATCCACGCTAAGAGAGATAAATGAATGAATTTTTCAAAAGATAAAATAATCACGCGATAGAGATTGAAGCTTTTCGAACTGCGAGAACATCCACGCGAGAGGAGCTCAATTTTTTCCACCAAAAAGAAAAACGACCGTCCCCTTAATCCACGCGGCAACAGTATGCTAAATATATTTCTTATAAAGTAGCGCGAAAAAAAAACCACACAATGAAAAAAATTGCTCTGTGCTGGGTGGTCGTCGAGTCGCAGAAGCGTGTCCAACGGTGTGCGTCGGCGTGGACAACGTAGCGGCGCGGTGTCATCGTCGTTCGTCCGGTTCATGCGAGTGCAAGGGTAATTTACCGGAAGGTCTGGCGACCGCCTCCTGAACGAACTGCCGCGTCTTCTCGCAGGGAGGTTGGAGAAAAAAATGGTCGAGAAATTTACCCAAGCTGACGGGCAAGCAGGGACAGACCTGCTCTCGCGTCGACGAATTTTCCACGGCTGATGATCTTTCTCTCATGCCGCTGCTCTCTTATGGCTTCCCTAGCGTAATCGAAATCGCTCCACTGCCGGTTACTGTTGCGATTCGTCGACCGTGCACGCTGGCTCCCGGATAACTACACGAGATTCGCCCTCGATAAACGTAACAAAGCCATCCCACAATTTGAAATCGTTTGCTCGTTGATATCATTAGTACGTTAGCTGTACAATTCTTCCCTCTTTATGTTTTCGGTAACATTCATCTATCCTCGTGTTAACGAGTGATGCATCGTCGAAAGCGTTTGAGTTAAAAACACACTGCTTGCCGCGACCATCATGATTTACGACCTATTGTATTCCGATGGAACAAGTAATAACGGCAACGCATATAAAAATATAATTTTCAGTAATGGTTTGGACGAAGTTCCTTGACCTTATGGACGAATATATGTATACACCCTTCGCGGTCAAAGGGTTAAACAAGGGTTGCCGTACCACTTTCTCTGTGGATATCGACCTTTCTTATCTCGAGTCGAGACCGAAGCTCGCGTGTGTCTGGTCTCGCCCGCGTGCCTTATCGAGCGTGGGATGAGTCACTCGCTAATGAAAATTTCAACTTTTGCTTTATCGTCATCAAAATGGTATCACAGAATTAACGAGAAAATAGGACACCTCATTTTGACTATTTTTAGTTCATACGTAATAGGACATGGTCCCAGAAGTAATTCGAGTAATGGTCGAATTAAAAATAGTTTAAATGGGATCGTATTTGGACTCATTTTCGTCGTGGAAATATTGCCGATCCACTGATCATGTCCTCGCGAAGATCATGTTACGGGAACATATTTTTCGTGATCGGTGAACGTCAGCCTGTAACATTTTTTCCGATTTAAACCGACCCATTTTTCGGTGCCGTTATCAGTCTCGACGATTCCGTGGATCGGTTAATATGGATCATCCCGTAAGGACAAAACAAGCACCGATGCGTGTCTTTGTCGATTATTTTTCGCGCAAATGGATATCGAAGTTCTCGAAACTGCTACCTCGTTTTGAAAGCCGTCATCTGCAGAAGAACTCGGCAATTTTTTGTGCGAGCTTTTCGGAATGCTGCGACAGTAACGCGATGAAAAGTTGGAATAGCGTGCGTCACGGTAGTTTTAACGTAGCTCAAAATTTTTGTCGGAGAATGGTTTCCCTTTCCCTGGTGAATTCTCATTCGTAGTTCCGCGAGTCCGCGAGCGTTCGCCGACCGAAAATACATTGCGAAAGACTTTCTTGGAAAACTTCGTCCGTAATCACGCTGCGTGGAAAATTACAGTCGCACGACCTATTTGACGCAAGTGTATTTTACTATTTATTATGAATTTTTAATTAAAATACAAATCTCGAATCGCAGAATAAAATTTGCTCGACTCCGAACAAGTTCGTGACATTTTGTACAAAACATTTCCTAGCGATTACAATTTTAAATAAGTCCCTCTCAGTTTATGCATGTCACCTGCTTTTTTAGGTCGCTTATGAATTTCCGACGATTAATGTATTTAAATACGAGTACAATGTAAGCATATTGTCTCACGAGGGAGCTGTTTTACAATTGTTTACGACGACTCATTCGTCGTTCAAGATTGTTTTATATAACAAATATTCCGTCGAGCAGGTCGTCGCTCACGAAATTCGCAGCGATGCAAATCGGGTTCGATAACGTGGCCAACAAAATTCGGCGTGACATTATATTATTACCTAATGTGATATTAATATTGAGCGTGGGTAGGGTTATCGACCGTATTTAGGTCGAAATGTAAAATGGCTAATTAATATTCCTTGCTTTCTCCCACATTAACTTATACACGAGTAAATAATAATTCCTATTTTGGCAGACAAAATGAAATTCCTGCGACAGGGAATTATAGAGCGATATACGATAACACTGGACTATTGCTATGAGGATTATGCTTTTCATTATGCTGGTCGTGCAAAGATCGTCTTAACGATTCGATATATGCATCCGCGTAGCCTAGACTGGTTTAATGCATTCGTCTTTTTACCGACCTACCGTAGACGCAGGTCTGTGATACCTGCGCCAGATGCACGACGTCTAACGCCATTGCGTAACCCGAAGAAGTGGCTTTTAAACTGTCCGGCTGATTGCTCCATTTTTCGAGACGTGTATAATAATACCACCTTGTGAAATTGTCCAGTCTCCTTTTTCGCTGGTGTCTGTCACCTTGCTCTCTATTCCATTGTTACGTCATTTTTCTGCGCACTGCGATTCGCTATAATCGTCGACGCGTTCCTGAAACTGCGGACTGTCGACAGTTCGGTTCGCGTGACAAACCTCGTTGACAACTGGTACCATCGTCGGTTCTCCCAGAGCATGTCATTTTTCGTTAACAAAAAAGATGATGTATGCGCGAGATAATTAATTGTTATTTGACCGCAACACGGAACTATTTTCCATCCGTGGTAGGGTTACCATCTCCTCTGTTATCGTAGAAAGTGATATCCACTGTCTTCCGTAGAATTTTCCGAGAAGAAGGAGAGCTCTGATGCATACAATGAGAAGATGTACGAGTTCGGAGCGTGGGATGGAAAAGAAGTAGATGTAAGATGGGTGACGAGGGTTAGAAGAACGAGCAAAGAGAGTGGATGAGTTAGGAGGATTAAGTTAGCGTGGGAATAAGTTAACCCTCTATTGCAGCGTTTCTCAAATAAAATCCGCGTGTTATGTACATCGTGTAATATGGAAAATGCTTTCTGTAATTCTTTATTCTAGCTATTCTAGTTGTGCTCCAATAAGGATTTATTTTCACTCTAGGGAATTTGATTCGACTCTTTGAAAAACGAAACAGTGCGCACGATTGGAGCTCGAGGCTTGTTTAATTGATATTTTATTTGACAAGCAATTCCGCGATGAATTTTTCCTAACAAGCGATGCAATTCCACATGGAGTTCGCGTTGCGATAATTTACAATACGATTACCTTGCGTATGACATCGGTGGAATAATTGATTGGACAGTGAAATGCTTCACGCTCGGTCCGTGGCAAGGACAGAGACGAGGACAGTTTGTCAACACTTGAAACTTTCAAATTTCAAATTGGAATTCCAAATTCGTCGCCGTTATTTTTCGACGATACAGAAATAACGAAGATATTTGGGATTCTTGGTTTCGATCATTTATTCCGCATAGTTGAAAATTTCCACGATATTAAAACTCTCAAAGAATCGACGAAAACGGGCCGCAATGTAAACACTAAGCGGTACCTTTTTTCCATCTTATGCATTTATTAAAACTCTAGGAAAAACATGTTATGATCACAAAAACAAAAAATCACGATGATTGTATGCGTTCATTTAATGTCGGCGGCCTCAGAGTCATTTAAGTGTTGATACTCGATCATAGTAATCTTTCTTTTTACTGAATTGTTAAATACTATCCAGAGCTTTATCTTGTCTATTGGATTAGAAAATATCACGCGTATACAGGGTAATTCTTACAAGGTGACCGACGCGATTATCTGTGAAATTTGAAGTCGTATCGAAAAATTGTTCAGACAAAAAGTAATCAGTTTCAAGGAGTATAAAAGGTGACATAAGTATTTTTATCTGGATAGAGGCGGCTCCGAGATATCAAGGTCACCTTCATTTTTTTAAACGGAACGCGATATTTTTTCTTTGACCGGATAATAGTCGTTTTCGAGACGAATTCAACGACTTCATATTTCGTAGATAATCCCGTCGGTCACCTTCGAAGAATCACCCTGTATATTGGAGCAATTATCCCATGCTCTGTTCCGTTCGTGGTATCCGCCACTACAGCCGCGTCGGCCATTGTTCTCCTAATGATGCCATTGTCTCCGTGAACCGGCCCGAAGAAAGTAAACAACGAAACGGGGTGAACGTAAAATTCGCGAGCCTCGAAACTTTTGAGGTCACCGCACTTTTCTTTAACTGCGAATTTTCAAGCATTCGAAGGAAAACAAAGAAAACTGCACAACAGCTGAAAGATGCGGCAGGAAACCTATCAGAGCGCCATTACGGGAACTTGTTTACGCGTGGACTGAATACTCGGTTACGTGACTACGAATTCACCTGATTTCAAATTAAGGCTTCTCAAACCTCAGGTTAGAGGATTCTGCAGTTTGTTAAACTTTACGTTTCGATCGGCAGGAATCGCTGGCAAAGATTCGATGATTAAGCGCGGTTTTAACGTTATTACCGGGGGTTGGGGAGGTTTAATTAGCGGGTAACCGTGGATGAAGTGGATGCGGATTTGCTTGGCCGAGAGTGAAATTCGCAGGGATTCGTCGGCGTTGCTCGAAGCGGAATCTTTCATTTGCTCGACCGTCGCCGGTGGTTTCTGGTCGTGCAGGCGAGGCGCCGCCGTAACGCCTGGAGACTTTAATACGGCTTTCTAAATAGAGGCGCGTTGCCCCTTTAATTTCGAGACTGCTGAGACTCGCTGGTAACGATCCTCCATTGAACGCGATATTAATCAGCCTGGCGTCGAATCCGACTCGGCCCCGATTCTGACTTACAAGAAACTTCGCTGATTTGTAACGGGGTCAAAAATAAAGGATAGGTATTCTTTATATCGCTGGTAATTCAAGTTTAAACGATGAAACTACCCTCGAAAATTTCACCCCCTTAATGCTACTTTGAGAACTATTGGAACATTGGAATCGATGAGAGTTTCTGCTTCGCGATCCGCGAGGAAGGAAAGTATCGTAACCGAGAGAAATGTTGGATAACGAACCGAATGGAAATGAGAGCCGATTCTAGATTTCGATGCAGACGTTCCGTAGACGGAATCTTTTGATCTCTGTTGCACTGTCGTCGATTTTATGAAAATAGTGGGTTTTTTTTTTCGAATTTCTAAATTTAGAATAATTTCAAGGGCGCCTCATGAATATGTATTACATTATCCAACGATCGAAAGTTACTGTCGAGGATCCCAAAATACTTCGAATCCTTTTTTTTTTCTCTCCAGTACCGGGAATGCAAATTTGGTAAACATCTCGAGAATTTAAGAGAGAAAATTTCGATGACTCCACGCTTCGATTCGATTGTTGAAACCGAGAAATTCTTGCCTCGCGATTTCTCTCATTTTAACCGGGCTGTATTCTGATTCTAGATCCCAGGGTGAAGGATTGGGCGATGATGAGCAGTCCTTTCCCGACGATGGCGATATGCCTGTCTTACGCTTATTTCAGCAAGGTTATGGGACCGAAGATAATGGAAAACAAAAAGCCTTTCAACCTTCGCCATGTCCTGATAGTGTACAACTTTATACAAACGATATTCTCCACATGGATCTTCTACGAGGTTCGTTTCATCTTTCTTTCTTCATTCCTTTTTCAATCGAAATTAATTACAGTGGATCGTGCGTAAGTGTCGCTCATTCTGGACGGGATGACACGAACGGAACAGAGAACTCGAGATTCGATGTTGAGAAGGGGTCGGAGCGAGGAAGATCTGTGAAAACGAGTAGAACACTTTTACTTTCATGCTTCGATGATTCATTATTTAACTGAGTCATCGACGGTCGCGTGTCAGAGATAACGCCGAGGCTCGTCTCGAGCCAGTTGTCTCGGGAATTGGTGGGGATGACCACGCGACACATATGCAACAGATTTCAGCGACACTTACCCATGATTCGCTGTACGTCTACTTTTGTTTTTCTAAAGACTCTAATCGCGCCGAGTTGTGTCTGTCAGATATTTAAAAAAAACGTAGTCGATGAATGCTCTAATTATCCACACGGAAACGAATCAATCGTCGACCGCCATCTTCCAGTATAATTAAACAGAAGCCATTAAAGTGTTGCGTGTTGCGAACTGGTCTTTCGCTCCAAGGCACTTCGGACCTAATTCTACCTTTCGTTGGTCAAACTTAGGTACATTACGGAAGGAGAAAATGATACACTTTAGAAACGATCATTGAACGGGTAAACGACATTTCTCTCGATGACAGGTATACACTTACGCTTGCACGATCGAGTAATCGACACTCCTAATAACACGAATCCTGAAGAGTTCTAATTAAACCTTTTACGTTTAATCGTTGTGAGGAAAGATAAGTAAAACGAAAAAATATTCGTGAATGAAGAATTCATTTCGAAAAAAAAAAGAAACATTCGAGGAAAGGATGTAATTACCTTAGAACAACAGGTACCGTTTACGCACTTTCTTTTCTCGTTAAGCTCGATAAAAGTCAGTCTCTTATCTTTGTACTCTACGCTCATCTGAAAGGGTCAACGTATCGATGGAACACGCTTTGATACGCCCTTTCCTCTCGGCAGTTTCACGATTTCTATCCTGGCACAGAAACACGCATACGGTTGTGTACCGCGCTCAGCCGACAAACTCGATAAAGTAATCCCATTCCGACGTGTATCATCGATCCCCGCGCAGAATAATTAATAGCCGGCCTCGGCTGCGATACACGCCTGTCCCTTATTCGTGAAAGTTATTGCCTGCCGGCTACGATTCGGCGCTTCGTGGGTTGCATAAGTCGCCCCATCGGCCAAGTCAATGGTATTCATCGCGCTGTCTGGATAAAATGATAGCTCCGCTATCCGACGAACTGTCAGACGATCGTTGACGGGCAAAACTTTGCTCGATACCTGTTCCAAAGCTCGGACTTCGATATTGCACGTATTATCACATTCTGAAAATTTCTAGGAAGCTACAGTGGGTGTAGTAAGTATTCGTACACCGATCAATTTCCAAAAAAACTGTGTAAAAATTGTAATTTATTAACTTATTTTTTATAAACAATGACATTCTACATGTTTTCGGAAATCTCTAGAATAGATAGATTACAACAAAAATAGCTATTTATGTAAGTTGCGAAATTAACAAGAAAAAAACAATTAATCGATAGAAATGTTGAAGCAATAAGTATTCGGACAACTGTTTAAAAGTACTTTATCGGAAATTTGATGTTTTCTAATTCGTACGAAGCAATAAACTAATGTAAAATATCATTGATTATAAAAAAAGAAGTTAAGAAACTACAATTTCACACAAAAGTTTTTTGGGAAATTGATTGGTGCACGAATACATTCTACGTGGCACTCAACGTACACGAGTACTTTCCAGTAAAAAAAAAAAAAAAAAAAATCGCACGAATGCAGATAAATGATCAACTCGTGCATTTTCTGCATTTATGCAAGCAGAAAATCGTACGCTGAATGTTGTAAAAAAGGTGTGGACATACAAAGGAACAAGGAACGATTAAAGCTGCTTCATCGATGTGAAAAAATGTTTCGTTTGCAATTTAATAATTGCGTAACTCTACTGCCGGCATTTTGAGCTCGCGATGGATTTCCAATTCCATGAAAATGGACGCCGCAGATCCGATGACGCAATGTGTTCCGATCGCTGCGGTGTATGACGAGGGTCAAGAATGCGCGTGAGTATTTAATCAAATACCGATCGTATTTGGTTTGCGTTTAGTATGTCGCATGTGTAGCCGAGTACAGTTATCTCGTGAGAATCGTACTCACGTAGGTACGTTGTCGCGTAACTTTCTACGCATTTTTGATCGGTCCAATTATTATTTGCCTATACTTACCGATCACGGTCGGTACCACGAACCGTCAACGAAAACTGGAGAAAAAGCGGAAGATAAATGGTAAAAGTACGTTACGGGAAAGAAACGGGAAGGGAAAAGATCAATGTTAAAGAGGACCGTCCATGCTCGCACTTCCCAAAAGAGTTCCTAGCGGTTAGTCGTGGCGAGAAACACGAGAAATTCGAAAAGTTACCAACTAGTCTTTAGTTTCCCTGGCGCGGGTCTTTGTTACGCGGAAAATTGTGTCAATTTTCGTGTAAAAGAAAGAACAGTTTGAGCGAGCGTTCGTTCATGCAGATTCTGAAATTGGTAGCGAGCTATTATCAGAAGATGGGCCTCCTCATCGACACCCCTCGTGCATATTAGACTCGATCGAAGACCGTGAAGTGACGTTTAAGAACCATCTTCAAATATCGAGGTTACGTCGTCGGATTTTATCGAGTGGCGACGAGGGGAATCGTCGATGTTGACTGGAAGAATGTGACCAGTCTATCATCGCCAGAATCGAAGCTGGCGAATCAATTGGAAAACGGAACTCTTCGGTGTATCTCTACGATTCGGTTCTATTTTATTCGAGGAAAACTGATAGGTCTTCGGTTTAAACAGAAGTATTGGTCGTTTTAGTGCTGGATTGATCATCGCTGCAATTTCCTTCCACGTTATTGTATTACAATTAGAAAATAATTGAGTTATTAATAGGAGAACTTATAAGGAAATCGTTGACTAGTTTAATATTATCAGAGAGGATAGTTTCCAACCTTTAATTTGAGATCATCTTCGGAAATGTCAAAATAAATTTAACGACGGACAATAATCACGTTAATGGACACTTGATCGAGACCAATTTATCTTCCTTAGGAAAATTCTTCGCGTTTCTCTATGCATACTTTTTTCGATTTCAACTTGAACGCTTAGCAAAAATCTTAAGTGTAACGAATAATAACGTACAATTAGCGTTCTCGATTATAGTGCTAAAAGTTAGACAGGTAATCGTTCTACGTTTTTTTTTTCCTATAGTATACATTTTCATCTAATTTGATAATAAAAATTTACACGTTCGCGTAAACACAATTAACAATTGTAACTGCGATAGAATAATCAAACTCTGGACTTAATCATGCATTATGACAGACGGTTCGAGGCGATTTTTATTGGCGACGTAAATGAATCTAATGAAATTCAAATGAAATTTGCAAACGCAGCAGGGCCGTTCTTTGTCGCTAAGTTAGCTACCGGGATCGATAGAGTTCCTCGTCTTTTGTCTGCTTGGTCTTTCCCTAAAAATTACTCTCCACTGACTCTTCGTTTCGTAGCGATTGTTATTCGGCTAGGACGCAAAGACATAATATAAAATTATTGATTAAATTTCAAATTTAGGAATGAAACTGTAGGGTGTTTGCAATCATAGAATGAAACTACATACCTTATTAAACAAACAAACAGTACTATTTGTATTTTTCTTCGTCGTTTATTATTTCAATAAAATGCTGCCTACCTCTGCCACTATTGGTTTTTAATTGGAGCACGCCACGGCGAAAAGGTTAGTTGATTTAGTCGCATCGAAAATAACGCCAGATCGCTCACCATCGTGAAAATTAATTTGTCAATCTTGTTAAAGAAGTGAATTTACATTTTATTTGCCCAAGCCCACCGTTTGGTACGGTATTTTGATCAGAGACAGGTCGTTAATCTTCCGGTTCGACTCGTGAAGAATTAATCAAAGCCTCGATGCAAATTTGTCTGGTAATAGACAGATAATTGAGATCGTATAAATGCAGCGTTCCGTCATCGCCAATGTTATCACTATGTATCAGTTCTAATCTGTATCATTTAATCGACGCGAGCCATCAAGCAGTTCCGCTGAAAGATGAAAAAAAAGGCTAACAAGCATTTTCTCTTTTTTATTGTATTCGTTAGTAAGTTGTAAATGTATTCAATCGCTTACTATTTCTTTTAGATCACAATTAAATCTTACATCATTTTAAAGCACTCTCGTAAATATTACATAGTAAAATAATCTAAGAGCTTCTCGGAACGTTCGGAAATATTCCCAGACGTATCGGATTGTAAAATTGAATTCTTTTCGTGTATTCGTCTATGTATTTCATACTTTTCATTTGTACGTCAGAAACTGTGCATAGGAGCTCGATAGCGAGGAGCCCGATATTAAACACACGGTATTTATTTTACACAATAACCGATCGCTCTGATTGCTTCGAACAGAGTGCATCATCGAAAGCTGTTAATTTCTGTGACACGCGCAAAAAACAACGAACGCGACGCATCGAATCGAGATGATCGCCTCGTTTCACGTTTACAGGCGGAACGCAGACTAAAGTTAGCGAAACGAGTCGGAAAGTAGAGCAGAGCGTGGCTGGCAGAATTTTAACCGACACACAATGGAGCATTTGCATGGCGAAGTTGGTCGAAGTATATTATAATACATTTGGGCACTCTTAAAAAACAATAATATTCGTACCCGATATCCGTTTCCTTCCAAATCCTTTCCTTTTATCGAGTACTTATCGCAGAGATTCGACTTTCCCAGTGGTCGGGAACAAATTGTGTAATATTTCCAAGGTACACTTGTAAATATGAAAGAGAAGACAAATATCCGAAACTTTTAGTCGGAAAATGTACGCCAAGATTCCTCATTCGAAGAATTCTGAACTTCTCGAGCTTCGTCCGGAGATAAATGAACATCCTCTTCAAGGTTGGAAGATGGGAATGTTAGCAATAATTCCATTGTCTCCTTTACAAATGGATTTGTTTTCCTCCGCGGGGTTTAATCTCGTGAAAAAAATGCAAACAGGTTTCCAAGATAGTGAATCCATTATTGTTCAGCAGGTACTAGCTTAAAAAAACTTGTTCTTTGCGATGCTCGTGCCGAACCAAACCCAAGTAAGAAGTATCACGAAAAAAGGATAATGATTTCTCGATAATATAGCGTAGCGTTTGGTGATGAAAATTCTTAAAAAAGTGTGGAACGCTTTAACTCATTAAATAAATAAACTGGTGCGAAAACTACTATAGCGTGCGTACAGTCTCTGACGCGAGATCACACCGCGTGGCCTTGACACACAACCACGCTGCCCCGACCATAAGCACGACGTGTTCTCGTTTGAACGGACGCCGGCCCACGCAACTATACCAGAGCTTTTCTAGCCGTTTAACACGGTCAAGTTTAATGGAATGTCGCGTTCCCTATCCCCTACGACACGAATCGAACATCAAGAGAATTCGATATCCCACAACGTCGACCATGTTGCACGATAAACGCACTCTGAATTTGATTACGATAATCCTTCGATAAAACTGACTCTCTGCGTATACTTTTATCGAGTAAATATTGTGTAAAAAGTCGCATACTCGTACGGAAGTGTTTTTCCCTTCAAGTTTAACAAATAATACTTAAACGAGTATTTTACAAATGCTGTAATTTCATGGATTGATTTGCATAGTCCAACCATCGTCGTATTTAATGCACGAAGTGTTACGTTATTATGTAACGACATTCTACTTTATCCTTTAGTTTTTTTTCTCTGGCTAGCTCTTTACATGTGCTTCCCCATTTTTTCAGCAATTATTTCAGCTATATAATTATCTTGACTTTCAAGGAGTTGTAATGATGTAAATCTTGCTATACACAACAATCCGAATAGAAACTTCATGAAACCATGTAGCATTTCTTTCACGAGTATATTATACTCTCACTGAGAGTATTTGAGTATCGAATACGTAGCGCACATGCTCCAAAATTCTGGTGTGTTACTCCAGTACTTTAACGTGTTCGCCGCGAAACATTTCATTCCACGATTCAAATACCCATATGCATCCAGAAAGTAACGCATAGACGATAAACAATCTTTCATTGGCTGTCTCTGTTTTTCGATATCACGACGAGTCCTTCGCGGGCAATCGTGCCATTTTGCTCGTTCTTGGTCCGCGAATGCAATCTCGGTGCCACTTAGCCAGTTATCAAGACACCGAGACGACCTCGCGAGTTTTCGTTTCCGTGCCACGCTTACGTGCGCGGTCTCATTTCCTAGCGTGTGTTGCTTCCGTTAATCGGGAATTGCTCGCGCGATTACGAAGCTCCGCGACCGTGGCCACTGGAATGGTCTCGTCTCGCTCCGAGGAATTACATAGTCGGAGCTTCTACTTACGGGGTTACGCGGTAATACGTACACCGACGATTCGATTGACCCTGCAGCCAGAACTGGGATAATACTTTGACCCCACCCTGTGGCCAGATCCGAGACAATATTAATACAAGAACAGCCAACTCTTTCTCTTTGCTTCCTTTTCCATTATGTACAGATTATATTGAGTTGTCCAGAAAGTTCGTGGCAATTTTTAAGAAAACTTTAAGAGCAGGTTGTCCCAAAAGTTTCTTTCGCTTTATTAATAAGTAATATATCCACAATAGTTTACGTTTTATGTTACATTACTGAATTGTGCACAATTCATTTCGCTCCATTACTGGTACAACATGAATATCTATGAAATTAGATTGTCTATTTATATAAACACGACCACATCAAATAATTGAGTGCAACTCCCGAAAGAAACTTTCTGGACAACCTAATATATTTATAGAATTACATAGGTACCATTTTGTTCCACATCTTTCCATCTTTTAAGAGACGTGTACATGTTATTTATTTTCAACCATTCCGATATATTCAGACCATGTACCTACCAAAAATCGACATGGACTGTCAAGGCGACCAAATATTTCTTCCTGCATGAAAAAACAATCGAGCAAAGTATTCCTAAATACTGTCTTCGACGATCAACAATTTCTATCGAACGAAGTCCACGCCACGAGTAGCGAAGGGGTCGAAAATCGGTCCGTTGACACTGTAGGCGGTCGGCCAGGTAGGTCGTCGTCAAGGGTTGAATCACGATCCGGTTGGCGCCGAGATCGATCGCGGTTTTTAGGGTCGCGCGGAACCCGTGGCCTGGTTCCCGCGAAAACTCGCGAAAAACACGCGGGGGAAACGCGGAACAAACAGAAGACCCATTGTTCGTCGTTCTCCGAAGGAGCGCGAGCTTTTAGAATTTTAAATACAACCGACAGTCGTCTCGCGACAGAAACGTTAGCCGAGGACTCTCTTTTGTGTTTCCCTGTCCCTCTCCCGTCGCTACTCCGACCCCCCTTTGGTGGCTTTCCCGGCTTCTTGATCGAACAAAGCGAGCGAGACAGAGTTTCTCGGTGAAAAGCGAGCGATCGTGCCTCTATACGCTGATTGTCCGTCGAGACTCCCCTGAATGCAAGCCCTTTTATTGTCCTCACTTTCCGCCGTTTTCTTGTTTCAGTACTTGATGAGTGGCTGGGCGAAAGGATACAGTTTCCGGTGCCAACCGGTCGACTACTCGAACAGCCCTATGGCGCTCAGAATGGCGGCCACATGTTGGTGGTACTACATCAGCAAGTTCACCGAATTCTTCGATACCGTGAGTATTACTTCCCCTCATTCGTTCATAAAACTACAATCGTACCTAGTTGACACGTTGGCGCTGACAAGCTAAAACTTTTGACAATGTCTATAAAGTTCAAATTTTGTCACGAGGCCATCGAAGATTAGATCATTTAACATTCGTCGCAGTAATTCACTTTTTAACGTTATACATTTATTGTCGTTATTGTCTCATCTTTAGGATTTATTTTCTTAGTTCCTTAATGAAAAGTCCTGTCACCCAGAAATGGCGTCCAATGTGTTAAGTGAGATCATCTCGAGGTATTTTATTTATCCGGTTTCCTACTTCGACTGTTTTATACAAAATGCTAGAGTTTCCTATGGTCCAAACCGTATCGCGATAAACTTATTCAAAAAGAAATAGGTTCAATAACGATATCAACAAAAGTCCAGGTGACCGTACTCCGTACATTTCGAAAAATACAAATGCATTCCTTGAGCGTTGGATGTTTTCCTCCAAGCTGTGGCACGATACCCTTTTAAATTTGCCAACAAATCGGACGGTAACTGCAGACCTATTTCCTGACTTGCATCCAACCCGTATCAGGCTGAATATAAATCAGGCCATAGCACTCGGAACGGTTCTTCTCAAGATCACGGATGATGCCAGGAGGGCATGATAAGAAACTCGTAGTTGTAGTATTCTTCGACTTCTCTAAGGGCTTTGATAAGGATCATCGTAATCATTCGTTAAGCAAACTGTTTGGTCTTGGGATGCTCAAACATTGTTATCGAACTAGTTTCGCGCATACCTCCGTGATCGATATCGGGTTGCGCGGGATCTAAGTGGGTTCCGATCCTTCTGGCTTTCTATCGAATTAGGTATACCTCAGGGAAGTGTTCTTGGTCCTTCGACATTCTCTATTTGTAGAAACGATCTAGCTTCCACTCTATTATTGCTAGTCTGTTTGCACAGCCATCGCAATAATCTAAATGAAAATGTGTATTTTACCCTTTTTTTCTGAAATAGTCGTGTACGTGAAAAATTTTTTCGTACAAACTAACGTTCGATTGTTCATAATGATAACAACACTTCATGTTAAGCTTTAAAGCTCAAGGTTCGGCACAAGACTAGAAGAGTACAACTAGCCTTACGCGTATAGCCGACCACGAGCTTTTCTTTTTCATGGAAAACCGGTAATACGAGGTCAGGTAACATTCTGGTTCGTCTGCGAATAGAATCGTTACACCCCGTGTTTGGTTAGGAAAATCGACTTCAATGCGCGAAATAACGCAACTCAACATGATTACAAGATCTCATTACACAAGTGTTGTTACCAGCAACGAATTGCGGCATAGTTCTTCGAATGGAGCGATAAACAATTGCGCAAAGTTTTAAGCAAATTGACACGCTACCCCCGTGAGTGTCCGGAGTACTGTCACACGATCATCAATTTACAATTTTCAAATAAATACAGAACAATCGCGTTTGGCCTGTTACAGCTCTTTTTCATCATGAGGAAGAAGAACGAGCACGTGTCCACGCTTCACGTTGTCCACCATGGAATAATGCCCTTCTCGGTCTGGATGGGGATGAAGTTCGCGCCAGGAGGCCATAGCACTTTCTTCGCCCTCCTGAACGCTTTCGTTCACATAGTAATGTACTTCTATTACATGGTGGCTGCGATGGGCCCGCAATACCAGAAGTACATCTGGTGGAAGAAGTACCTGACTACCTTCCAAATGGTGAGCACATAGTTGTTGCACAGTTGTGCGTCTCGACCTCTAGAGATTAATCGCGTAACATACTTCTAACAAAATCGTGTCCTTTATGTTTCAGGTGCAATTTATCATGATCATGACGCATCAGTTCCAGCTGTTGTTCACGGAGTGCGATTACCCGCGGACCTTCATGGTCTGGATCGGGCTGCACGGCGTGCTCTTCCTGGGTCTGTTCTCAGACTTTTACAAAGCAAAATACGTGGACAGATCGAAGAAACCTAGCGCAAAGGGCACGTCGCAGAACGGCATGCCGGGGCTCTGCATGCCCGTCCTCGAGGATTCGACGCCGACGCCCCGTGTGAACGGCGTCTCGTCGTACGCGACGATCTATAACAAGGAGTACAACAGTTGTTACAGCAACGGTACCAATAACGGTTACGTCGCCAACAACAACACGGAGAAGAAGCTCGCTTAGAACAAGCGCTTTTCTGGTTTTTGGGAAAACAGCTCGGGACATGGAATCACACGTTACCATATTTAAATCCATATTTACACGGTTCGACTCTCGCCGACGCTCCGTCAAGAGAGCACACGGTGAGCCGTGTTACAAGAAACTCTCCGACGTGAATGAAAGAAAAATGAAAGAAACGAACGAGTCGCTCCCAATTGCTGCACCTTGGGGGTGTTGTGCGTTCGAATACACGAGAGTCGTCGACGAGAGGACTAACAAAAAAAAAATCGCACACACGTTCGATTTTCCCGCTAAACGCTTCGAAAACTGTATTTTATTTTGTTAAACTGTCCACCGAGCTGCCGACGCGAACGCGTCCAATCGTCATGGGGGTAATATGTGGAGGGGGTTATTACACGTAAGAACTATTAACGGTAAGTATCATTCATCGAGGAAAAAAAAAAACTGAGAGCTCTTTCGCGCTTCTATCTGTTGTTGGGCTCGCGTACTTGTCGATCGATCGCAAAACAGATCCGCAACGGGCTTGCGGGAACGGTTGAACAGACCGCTAGAGAGCTGCAACGACATGGAAGATGGGAGGAACGCGAGCGTAAATACGAGAGCGAACACGGTAATCAAGTTAATATTCGAGAAAGATTATTTCTTGGCCATGGACAAGATTAAAACGCGCACACGACTTAATAACGAGCCGCAGGATCCTCGTCGGAATCGGACGGTGATTCTGTTCCTCCCCCTTTTGGAGCACGCGCTACCACTAAACGACCGATTAGCTAGTGTGTTCCCTTGTGCTGCGTTAAGTATGCGTGAGCAAGAGTGTGATCGTTTGTTAGAAGAGGTTGTAACGTGATTTGTGATGAGGCATTTCTCTCGTTGGGACGCACCCGGAGAACGATCCCCTTTCGACCAGAGCTGCGTGGATACCTGGAAGCTTTGGTAACCACGAGATATTTAAGTCGAGATTCTGGAAATCTCTTGCCGCGCATAGTAAGTCGCGGGGATATTTATGGGGAAATCACCGCTGGAGATGGTTAAGTTTTGATTTGTATTTTCAACAGTACGTTCAACGAATTTATGAAAATTCTATCGTTTATCATAAATCGAGATTGGGTAACCTCGTGAATCGAAATTTTTTGACTGGAGCCTCGGATAAGCGCGCAGCTCTGCCATCAATCGTATTTCCTTATCGTTGTCCGACTCTGTCTCTCTATTGCCCCGATTGTGTTCAAAGCTTTGGTGTTCGTCGTAGGAAATAAGCGTCTGTCGATTCGCGCGAAGGAGAAGGCCGGTCTTATCGGTTTCCTTCCTCTCGAAGCTTGGTTCCGCTACTACTGATTTATCGGCTCGGCACACAGCGTAATGTAATCGCGGCAGCAACGACCCGAGATGGTCAAAATTATCATCCACGTGAAAATTTCGAATAACGAATAACAGACAAGCGACTCTTTTATCTGCTACTCGTCGAGCAAACAATAGATAAACAAAGACTTGAATTTTTGCCCATCTCCGGTGACAAATTAGCTTTTTTACGGTCACGAGACGCCACGCAATACAATTTTGTTTCCTTGTCCGTGAAGTATTCGCAATTAACCGTACGTTCACCTCATTATGGAATCAAGCTTCCGAAGAGCACACGAAATTCTCTTCGACGAAGATTATTCTTGTTCGCCGTTTCGAGTCGGTCGAAAATTAGTAAAAAGAAGTCGAACGCCAATCGTTCGCGATTAATTCATACGTGTACGTGTTGCTAAAACGCATTAGAGGGAAAGAGATTTAAATGAAAGAAGAAAAAAAAAACGTAAGCGTTCACTCGTAGGAAAATCGTATAAGACCTTTCGTTGAGGTTTCGGACTTTTTGTACTCTTCCTATTGAACGGGAAGAATCGGAAGGAATTTTTTTATTTATGACCGCATCGAAATAAAATCTGAGGAAAAGAAAACACAAAATTCGATCCTATGAAACAAAAAAAATGAAAAAAAAAAACATTCGTCGTTGTATATTTTTATTACAAGGGAAAAATCGATCGCGAAACAAACATGACACGTTGACTGTTCGATGAATGGGTGTCGAAGACGTGCTTTCGTGGTGAAAGTATTCGTATATATGAAAAAAAAAATTTATTATGCCAAGTTTTAAATAACGTATTAGAGAAATATTTGATGAAAAACGATTTATATAATAAAAGACGAAAAAAAAAACCGAGAGAAAATAACGTCGATAAGACTGTTAATATAGTCGTAAAAAGAGAGCGTACGAGTGCAAATAATTATTACGCCGAGATCCTCGAGAGACAAACTCTCATTTCCTTCTGATACGCTAGCTTTTAACGTTGCATTTCTTTTATTTTTGCATCGCCTGAATGGACAAGGATACGCCCGCGTCCTTGTCGCTTGTTCCAAAGTGTACAGGAATTGATCGTCGAGTTAACAATTTAGCAAATAATTTTATATCTACGAAGCAATGAAGTCTACGCTCAAAATGTTGTTCCCTCATCCCTTCCGTTAATAGCGAAACCGCACAGATATGTATATTTTCAGTTACGAGTGAAGTCTATCGTACATTAGTGTGTGATCATCAATCGGCTAAAATCGCTGGTCCTTCTTTTTTCGATTTTCTTTGTTACTTGTAAAACTTTAAGTGACTATTCCCGCCCTGGACGCATCGCTGTTTGAGTCGATACGACGCACGGACGTTCCGTGAACGGTTCTTTTAGTGTGGTAGAACCTCCATTCTCCAATCGATAGAATTTTCCGAAAATGCATAACAAATCTTTTTAAACGTTTCTTGATTGCGTTGGAGGTACATTTTATTTGATTCTCAAGCCATCCGAGCCCTTTTCTTCAATGGCACCGATGGTTCCACTGACCATTCCAAGACACTTCCAACCTTTGGATGACTCTGAGCTTTATTCCTGCAGCCAACTAATTCGTAATGTAAAACTAAAAAGTTCTAGCAACCGAAAAAGAGATATTCCACGAGAATGTGTTTGGATAATGGAGGTTCTAACGTGTACCATTAGAACTCTGTTCCGCCGACGTGTTTATAACGATACCCTTAAGATAGCAGACAAAGCAACTTCGCACCTGTTAAAGTCTCGCAAAAAAAAAAAAAAAAAATTAAACTGCGTTCTGGAAAGAACAGGAATGAAAGCAAATGGACAATTCTGTCGATCCAGCTCGTGTCTGTCAATGAGGACAATAAAAGCCACGTCGACGTAGACACACGGTTAGTACATTCTAGCGAAAGTTCGTAATGTTTTAGTCAACGCGTTTGTACAAAGTTGTCGTTTTCTTATCACAGTCGATGATAATCGCCGCGCACGAGCGGACGATCGAGCGTTTTCTCCGTGTTCCTTTTCGATTAAATGCGGTATTAAAAAAAAAGAAAAAAAAAAAGGCTGCTTCTCGATGTACAACTTTCGTATTTTTCTAAAAACGTGCACGCGCGAGTGCTACTTTTCTGCCAAGTCGTGCACTTTTCTAATGAAATTTCGATGACTATTAGTAGATCTAGCGACACGATTTTTCGACGAAATTTTCGGGGCTTCTTTGCAGATTTGTACTGTTCGAGGCTTTGTGGTCGTACACTGCGTTCGTTGGGAGAATAATTTTTACCTGACATCAGTACTTCCTTGCGTCGACGATCCCAGAAGAAAGAATCTATTAGACTGTTCGAACTTTTGTTCGGTAATCCCACCGATTGATGCATTTTTACTTCCAATTTTTTTTCAGACCTTTGAGATCTGTTTTTCTAAGAATCTGTACCTTCACTGGTATCCTGAATTTAGTGCGTGTTTGCTGAGGGTAGTCAAGTTGTAGATAGTAATCATTTTCTTGATCCCATTGATCTATTCGTTGGTCTTCCAAACCAAATAGAATTAAAAAGCATAAAATCCTATTATTACTTCGTTCTAGAAATGGTCGCAGCTACCATCCAGAAACTTCGAACAGTACAATAGCGAGGTTTCCCCGCACCGAATCTGGAGCACCGATTATTGCAATGGTCAAAGAAAGGGGTAAGATTGACTCTCCGACGCGAGGTTGTTTCCTTAAGCCTTGAGTGCCACCTTTTAATTTTCATCCTTTCCTAAGCAGCGTTCGATGATCCGCGATTACAAATGCGAAAAGAACGGATCGAGTCCCCTTCTCGAGTCGACCGATTTCTTTCATTTCTCCGCACGCGGCACACAGAAACGAAAACACCGAGTTCACACGATAGTACCGTAGGATTTATCGATTGATACACCTTTCTGTAGATGGAAATGGAAAGATGGCTGCACGCGTACAGGTATACGCCGAAAGAAAATCGACCGATCGATCGTCTTTCACATTCGGAGAACTGTTTTAAAAAGCCACGGTGAAAGGTGTCGAGCCGAGGTTCGCGCGAGGCCGAGGAGACAAGAGCACACATCGTCATGTACCTACCTAATGTTACGAACTCTGTAATGATTATTGATTCTCATTATATTTTTGTACATAATTGGGGAGAATTACATTGAGAATAAAGTGAATTTAAAAGGAGCGAGTTACCTTCAGCCATGAAACACAGGAAAATCGGTGTCCTCTTTATTTGATGATCGACGTAACACCCAAGAACAATCGACACAGGAAACGAGGAATTACAGACTCAATTATTATGGAACACGTCCGCAATCGAAGCAAGCTTTCGCATTAATCGACACGTCTTTGAATATAGATCGACGAATACGCTTGTATTATTCCTATTTACCATGTCGACCCTTGGCCTGCGAATTTCCACGACCCATTGACACCTGGATCTCGTTAACAATCCGTCCTATTTTTTATCGCGGATTCCGTAATAACATAGCGTCACTCCGCTACATGCATAAGTACAATGCAAAATATTGGTTAAGCGGAGAAATGGTTTGGATGTTCTGAAAGGAAGACCTGGTCTACGTCAAAATGAAGAATTCATTAATCTATAGTGCTCTATATTGTTATCGGTAGGTTTGTGTCTTTTTAACGCAGAAAATTATGTAATTTAATCGGAAAAAGATATAGCCCTGTCTTTCATTAAGCATAACGCAAAAACTTTTTGTTCAACAGTTGCATAGTTGCTACATGGAAGCGCATTCAAGGAAACGTAAGAAGGCATTTTCTATGCTAGTTCTACTAGTAATTAAAAGAGACTTTTGGAAGATTAGTTTGAATAAGACCGCTTGAATTCACAAGTGACGTTTTGGCGCGCATGACTATTGGATTGCCTATTAGTAGGAGCAATACAAGGAACACGAACAGTTGAAATTGCTCATAATATAAAACTGTCATGCCAATTTTGTTAAAAAATGGTCTTTGGTGTTCGTACAAAGATAAACTTCTTACGTTTCCTTCTATCCCTAACTTTTCCATACAGCATTCGTCTTAGTAACACATTGTATATAATGTATAGAAGCATTCAACTCCAAAGTAATTACATTATCGATATTCATCCGAAACATACCTGAACATCGTGGTTTGTGAGGATATTTTTCGTAAAATTAATAGTTATATATACATACACACGTGAAAAAACAACTAATCGTCGATTTTCCGATAGATTACGCTGCTGTTCGATTATCAAAAAGTAAATACACATTTTGCACACGAAAATCAATATATAAAATGAAATAGAAATGTAGGAACTACTCATAATCGCAACACGACACGGTAGGTTATATCAATTCCATGATTCTTCATACGTCACGATATACAAACAAATACATGTCACATTAGTACGGATAAATCTGATCGGGCTCGTATGTCACGTGATTAATCTACCGTAATACTAACGAAGTTTGAGTGAATACTGGTACCGTGATACCAGCGACTGAGCATATCGTAATTCGTTACAGTAACCGAGACTCGTGATATAATTCGTGATAATTTATCGTTAGTCGCATGTCGGACGTCATTGACTCCGAATGGTGGGTGCAGCGTTATTAACGGTGGAAAGATGTGAATTCGGTTATGACGCTCTTTCGTCGAAATTCAAGGGATCGAGGATAAGCGTCATACGTATACGCTCCACAAGACACGTGAGTACTTACCGCTATAATTAATTCACCTATCATACGTAACGACACCGTGTGTGAAAACTGACGCAACGCGATGTGATCCTTCATATTAATTGTTAGTACATAGAAGCAGCTTTTTCACAGTCGTTCGTTTACGTTTCGTCGCCACTGTTTCTATTTGCAGAGTTTAGGTATGCCCGTGCGACTATTATCTCGGTTACACGATAAAAGTTTCCTCTTATCTGTAGAATTACTTCAGAAACAATTTTAAGCACGATATAAACCCAGAACGAAATCATTTAAAATTTACCTTTCTTTCGGTTCAGAATTCTATGTGTAAAACATGGATACGTAATTACGTTGCACTTTATAATCATAGATGTGCGTGAAACACTCGACGCATCTTATCGTTATGAAACATACGAACACGTTTCACCGATAGTTCCACGTTATTCACACGTCAGAAAACCTGCACGGCATGCTCACGGTGAATCGCGAATTCTGGAGAACGAGCATGGGCACATCGAAAGACTTTATTCTTGATTCTAACGCCACGTGGTCTTTGTTTGTTTACATCCTCTGTGTTTGGATCCGTTGCGAATACCGAGGAGAAAGAAATAACTCACAATCACTCACCGTAAATTCGAGCATTCCAACTGCTTTGTGCACTTTATTTGCTCCAATTTCCTGTATCATTTATCATTTATTTTTCAAATATTAATAGGGTCTCCTTCTACTACGTTACTTCTACCGAGAATAAAAACAAGATCTGTTCACCAAAAACCTGACATACGAAAGACAGACATTTCACTGTGGATGAATGAAAGCTTACTCGAATAAACACGGTGAATAGATACCAAGTATCCAATACCATCGGAATCAAATTTCTGTTATCTCCGCGTCTGTGACCGTGGGGTTCGCGGGTTGGTGGCGCCGCGACTGTCCGCGGTTCTCAGACGAAACGGAACAAAAACGAGCACAGCGTCGCGGATACGCGACGTGAACGCGGGTAGATAGAGCGGTGACGATTTCGCGGTATAACGACCCTGACGATATCGTGTGAACGGGAACGGGGGACAGTAAAGTAACGCGTGTTTAATTCATCCGAACACAAAAGGAATCGTCGAGCGTGTTCGAGCGTCTCTGGCGAGCCCCGCCCTGTATATATTTTTAACCGAGATCTATCGAAAGTCCGGCCGGCGTGGCAAACCGTGTACGTTCGGCGAGTAAGTGGTGCTCCGATTGACTGCCAGCAAGGAAGAAGGTAGAAGGACGCGTAGGTGGGACAGGATACGTCATACTGGCGCAACAAGTGAGGAGGGCACCAGTTTCGTTCCGACTACAGCTCGCATACAGTAAGTGGGGTTCTTTCCGAACAGCTGATCAGAGAATATGTTCACGTTTCGGGACTTCATGAACGACTACCTAGGCATGCTTGAGTCTCTAAACGTACCTGCGCGGCAGCACCTTTGCTACTCGAGTATACCCCTTCGTTATAGGCCACCCGACTACAATCTGTCGCGAAACTGTCGGGTTGCCAGCTTCAAGGCGCGCGCGCACGTGTAAGGGTTGGAATCTTTCGCGGGTGGTGCAAACGAAAACTTAGCCCTTAACAGTCGACATGGGGTTTTCGGTGTTTTGTGATTTTTTCGGCTGTTTAAACTGTAGCAAACATTGTGTAAAAATTCATGGCACTAGTTTTAGGGGTCTGCTAGAAGATTCAAAAGGTCTTTTTGGAAAAAGAAAATTTGTAATGTTGTTGTACGTAAATTGGTAACGTATGATGGAAGTGTTATTGTAAATAACGTGCCGGCAAAATAAAGTTAAAACCCTATATTATTAAGGAACATTAGCCCTCAGGTACTATAGCTATGTCTGATTATAGCTACAGTACGGGTGTAGCGGTCCCGAGGTACCCGAGCTATATTCGGGGGCAAGAATAAAACAAAAATTAAATGCAAAGAACGAATATATGAAAGACTGGTGCATTGAACCTTATATATGAAATATATAATATATATAAATAAAAATAAAAATATATATAGAACGAATATATGAAAGACTGGTGCACTATAGTCAAATAATATGACTTTGCATCCATAAAAATAAAATTCACTCATTCCAAAAGGAAGCTTAACTCCTTGGAGTTAGGTGGGTTACAAACTACTCCACCTTTCGCTCAACTTTTAATATTTTATTTGAAGTCTCTCATTCGGTTGGCTATGCTACGAACTAACGCTGAATACTAAGGAAGCGAAGACAAATATTTATACACGTCGAAACGCATTAGTAGGTTGTTGACAATGTTAACTAACAACCTGGTACCAGAGCTGGGTAACGATTTTATCATCACATTTGCAACAATTATTACAAAGCAGCATACCTGCGTAAAATGTGTACACTAGTCCTTTGATTTGCGCAGATTTTGAAGTACAAAAGACAGTTGTGTTTTATTCGTTATCGGTTATGCGAATAAAAAGTTGGTCATCTCTGGTTGCGATAGCTTCAGAAACCGATGGCGTTCCACGCAGCGCGTGTCGTAAATCGTTAGGAAAATCGAAAGGGGGAAAGTCGATAAAGACTAGAACGGTGTTGACCAATTTCGTGACAATAGTGGACGTTTCGACATTTACGGAGCCGAAAGTGGCACGAAATCAGGGGAACCATGGGTTTTCTATAGAAATTGTGAAATGTTTTCCATCGTTGACATTTAACATTAATTAAAAAGTGAAACACCTAGAAACACAGGGTATGCTACTTCCCACTTCCAAGGAAACAATTCTTACAGAAATTAACGAAATTAACAAAATTAATTGGCTGTACGGCTCGTTAGCACGCGAGTTTGCGCAAGAGATTTCTTCTTTCGCGGATTACGCGTTGAAAGGATAATATCGGATCGTTAGAAACGTAATGGTGCATAATGAAAAAATGCGCGGGAAAGTGTTACGTGTGCCAGGAGCGAATCAACCATGACGCTGAGCTTCAACTTTGAACACCCTGATGGCTCCTTCTTTGTTGATCTTTTAATTTACTTATTTAAGGAAAGAAAGCGGTCCCTCGAGATAATTAACTTCGTTCCTCGATAAGGCTACATCCGCTGCTGTCTTGTTTTTCAGCTCGTTTCATCGAGCCGCATAATTTCCCGTGCATACAACGAAATTCCTCGCCATCGTTAAATTCAATTTTAACGCAAGTAGATGAACCAGATTCGTGAATCACGCGTTGACGTTCATGAGTAAGGTGTACGAGGCGCGCGTGTTTACGCGATCCTCTTGAATATTCCAATCTCGTAGCCGCAGATATTTCCCCATACCGAGGCCTTGGATACATTTCGCGGCAACTCGGGACCCGAAAAATATGTTTAATTTAATCCTTTGCGCCCCGTTTGTCTCCTTGAATCTCACGCTGTTCCCCGCGCGATAGAAGGCCCTTCCATATTCGCCTAATTGTGAAGTTGGGCAATTGGAAAGACGGAATCGAACGCCTTCGATACTTTTCGACGGCATTGAGTCACTTCTGGTACGGATGGCTACCGTTCCGTTTTTCTATGCTGAATTACGTCAGACGATCTGAATAGTTAGACTCGAATAAAAAAAAAAAAAAAACAAAGGAAACCAAGTCACTCCTTCAAAGTAAACGAATGAGACTGGTACTTAGCCTTGTTACTTCTGAAAAATTGTGAAAATTAACGAGGAATCAAATTTTCGTGAAACGACAGACTCTTTAATTGGATTTTTACCCCTTTTGGGCTCGACGACCCGCGGTGCGAAAAGCTTCTGTCACACGACGGTGACGTGTTCGCACGGACGAACGATAATTTCGACTGGGTGTAATTCCCGTCGACGCCGAAACTTTCTCTTCGGTAGCCTGGCTCGATCAGAAATTCCTCTCTCTGCTCTCTACGCGAACCGTTTGGACGTAATCGATGACGAGGACGCCGAGAGGGGGTGCCTCGTGCATCGAACCGACCAAACTATTATTTTTCCAGCTACGACGACCGGGTTGCATCCATGGAACCGCGTAATCAAACAAAATTACCTTATCCCGCGAAATTGCCTCCTGAATGCTTGGTCCACTTCCTAGCAGGCTCATTTCCTGTCGGTATTATTATTTTTACTTATTTTTTTTTTTCATTTTTTTTTATTTGATACCGTCAATCTTCACTACGATCGCGTTCACACGATCTGTAAAATGTGGAAGGGAATCGCAGCTGATAACGCGTGTGGGAACGCGACGTTAGGCGCGCACCATATCTCGACAAGGTAGGTCGGGTTGCGAAAAATAATGTGGGTCAGGAGGCCTCGAGGCGCGAAGCATCAGAGAAAAAACGGGACACAATGTCGAGCATACCGAATCGCGTTAATCGCGATTCACAAACGGTACGGAGTGTGCTCCATTAAAGCCCGGGGAGAACATTGTGGGCGCACGTTTCTTCCATTGTGCAACTGACTACCGGCGACGCACATGCTCAATTTTTTTTTTTTTTTTTTTGACAGTGTCCCGACAATGACAATGTGGGCCAAGGCCGAATTCTTTGTGTGTCGCGAACGTTATCGGTCGATCCAAGCAATCGGAACCCCAGAGGTCCAGTTCATCGTTCTCGAATCCTACAGATATGGAAGAGTCTGACAAGATAATCGCGGGGCAGTCGTGGCTTCAGTTTGAGGAGTTTCAAATAAAAATCAACACTAATTAGCCAAACGTGGAATACGAAACACTTGTGCAAGCCGAAATATTAGTCCGTAATATAATACCTCTGGCTACTTGTGCCCATTTGTCTACAACGAGCTCTCGTCGAATTCAGTTCGGACTTGAATGAAAGGCAAACGATCCCCAAAATGAGCGCCGTACGTTGCGCGTAAGCGAACGCAACGCAGCATTTTCAATTTGCGATAATGTCACGTCGAGAGGGCGATTAAATTTTCAGAAAATAATTCAGAATTCGAAAGTGTCAGTGAAAGTGATCACTCTGTTATAGAAGACACAGAATCTTGCGAAAGTAGTGTTGACAGTTGCGAAAGTGAAATTGAGGAAGGAGACGATTCAAATGAGAAGTCGAGTGGTATTTTTTTTCTTTTTTTAAATTCCGAAAAACGAGACCATTGTTGAAAGAGTACATAGGTATTTATTGATGTCTAATCTGAATACATTTGTCACGATGTGATTACAGTGTAATCACGCTGTATTTAGAATGTAATCACGCGATGATCGTTATGCGACTGCTATGGACGGCATAAAATCTGCATTCAATTTGTTTATAAATGAGAGCACAAAAAATATAATTACGTAAACACAATGATAAATAAGAAAAACGCAGAAAGATAGCATGGAAATAACTTAGTGCATTTTTCCTATTTATCAATGTGTTTACGTAATAATATTTTTTGTGCTCTCATAACTAGAATGACGATTTTGTGTAATTGGAAGTTTTTCAGAATGTTGTATGCTTGTTAATACGATCGTACGCAAAATGTACGCAAGCACGATAATAGTCTATTTCTGGTGGGATTTCTAAAATCTGCCGATACCGACCTTGAGGTCAAAAGGTAGCCTTTACCCACGTATTAATTGTGGCTTTGCGCGCACGCGTCCCCTCTGCATTGCGATCAGCTGAGCATGAATGACTCAATGTTGTCGGCTTACGTAAGATCAACGAATTGGGTCGTGTGACATGTGGAAAACGCGAAGAACTCCTCTTGAATTCTTCGACCCAACCGCTGCGCGCGACGACCATTCACTGTCGCTGACCGTGTTGTTGAAGCACTATGAAACGTTCGCGTCAAGTAATCTCCATTTGTGTCCGTAGTTTTCTGAAGGATCGTTTACTGGAGTCACTCTATCCTTATGTCAGCGTAACTATTTGCATGCCATCGGAAATTATTACACTATTTACAACGCTTAATCCTACCTGAAAGTGGAAGTATCGAATCAACAATTGGTCAAGATGTAGGAAGAACGTGGTGTTGTTGCATTAGGTATACAAGAATTACCATTGCGTACCTCCATCGGTAAATTGAATCAAGGAGTCATCAAGTTTATTGATTCGCACAGCTTGTGAATTGACGGAACGATCGTAAATTTCTCCTGTACATCTAGCAACTGTGAATATTGTGCAAATTATATTGTTACTTACATGTATATTTTTAATTATTCATAACTGTGAAAAACCGTATCAACAATTGACATAATACAGACCGTTATCATCTTTATTGTACGGAATAGTAAACGTAGTAGGGTTCGGTTTAATCAAAGTCTTTCTTAGAATGTTACTTTATATTCGTTGTGTCAGTGGAAAAAGCTTCATGTACAAACTTGATTCGGAGTAGCCTTTGAAAAACGTTGAACGAGCTGTGATACTCTACTAGATCTTCCAATTGAGAGGAACTGTTGCTAGGAAAGGTCAGGTGAGTTCAAAGACACGAGAACTCTCTGTACGTGTATGGTCGTCGCGACAGCGGCAATATGCGTTGAATTTGGAAATCAACGGACGTTAAAAGTGCTCAGAGGGAGGGGGGGGGAGGGAAGAATGTTAATGTTCTTGGCGCTTTTACGATTCCTTCTGACCTTGAACTCATCGTAATCAACCGACTCCGTTTTTTTTCGTTTTATGTTAATGCGTTGACGGACTTCAATTCGACCTTGCCGCAATCCATGCCCGAAGATATTGTCCTCGAGGATTTTGAAGATCATTCATCGCTCAATGTTTGCTCGTACTTTGAACGATTACGCTTTGTTTAAATATTGTTGTTTAATTACATCATCCCATCAAATTATAATGGATTGATTTTTATGTACCATGAGAGTAAGTTGCATTTCGCGAGCCCAAACATTCACATCGCGTTTGTGCAATATCTTTACAGATACCCTTATCAACTTCCTGCGATCACACACTGTTACGTGTTTCTATTGTTCATAATATTTGAAAGTGTTCGCGTACCTATCGTCGAAATGATCCACCTCGATGAGCTTGTAAGGAAGACTGAAAATTGCTGTCTTCCTCGTGAGCTTTCTATTAAATTCAATTCTATTATATTAACATTCTATCGACAGCTATTACTCAACAATGTTACTTAACTTGTATTTTTATTAAATCAATCTTTAGTCATCGATATCCCCAATGTCCTCTATCTCGAACCCACAGCAAACGCTATTAGGAACTACCGTTCAGAGGCCATCTTCTTCGATCATTGATCTTGGCTCGGCCAAGAAGTACCGAAAAGGCACGTTTTACCTGAAAAATGACGTAACCGATAAAATTGCGTCACCAGCCAAAAGCGTTTTACTCGTTACGAAAGAGCACGCGCCCTTGCGCGCGCGCGTGTGTGTATGTGTGTGTGTGTGCTCTCTAAATTTGGCGATCGAACTAACGCATCGAATCTGGATGTTTCTCTTTGATATCAGGGCTTCTAAACACGGGACATCTTGGAACAGGTTTCATCCAGGTTAACGGTTAGGTTAGAGTTCCATTGCTTTTGGAAAGCACTGCCCCAAAAGCGAAAAGGAACTTGCCGCGCTCGGAGCTTGAACCCTGTCTGGAACATGCTTCTCTCAGTGTTTGATTGTTCAGCTGAAAACACCGCTGATGGCCTGTGGCTCGGTAGCCAGTGGTCCATGACACGAGCATAAATACCTTAAACAGATTATAGCAGTCGAAGGTGTGTTAGAAATGAGAGAAGACGAAGTTCAGGACAGAATTCACGAGTTTATTATGAATACCAGGAGATCGAATCTCCTTGAATCGCATGGCGCCTCCTAATCGAGGAGACGTGTCCGAAAAATGTCTGACAAACGAATCCGGTCGATAGTTTTCGACTAGGGATTTTCTCCAGATTCTCCGCCAAGTATATCTCGAATTCCAACAGAATTACAAAGAATAAATTGAATATTCAATCACCTTTGCAAGAAAAACAAAACTAGGAAAAATAATTGGTGCAACTTTTTTCTTAAACTTTATTATAGATGCATACTTTTCCATAGTTTTTCCCCGCGTTGATTTATATGTGTTTGCATCACGACGGAAATATCAAAACATTACTAGTATTATTAATGGGGAAGCGAAACGCAATTGCGACGCGGTGACGCGTTGAGCGATGGAGGGAGGATCTGAAACGTGATTGAGAAATGGACATGATAAATTTGCATGTTTATTATGCATGCCTAAGCCCCGGGGTGGGATTGGGATTGGAACCATGTGCGGTGTATCATTGATGCGCTGGTGGATCGAAAATAAAAACTCAAAGGAAGGCGGGGGTTACTAAAAAAGGACTCGAGGTTTTGGAGATTCCCAGCATCTCATCCTCAGATATAATAATACGACAATGAATGAAGGAATCGCTTAGGACCACTAAAATTCAGATAACAAATCCCTTTTGTTAGTCGATGGAGAAGGAGTTTGAGGTTGCTTTGACGTTTAGTAAAAAGGGATATTTTTCGGGTTTTACGACCTCAACCGAAGCCCCTGGAATTTTAAATAAAAATATTTTCACATTTGTTTGCTGAAGCCTTTTCTACCAAGCGTCGAAGATGCAAGAGTCGCTCGTTATGAAACTGGTGTAAGTCTGCGATGAAACGTGATCAAAGCTTTGTAAAAACCGCGAGGTAAAGGTGCTTTGTATAGAATTAAATTTATCACGTCCTTGTACTTAGTTGATTTTATCGGTGTCTAGGGACATGACGTTGTTATTGTAAAAACATATGATTATTCCCGTTCGTGGAAATATATCCGTTCCATAATGAATTTTTTCTCAGTCTGTTTAGCAATTGAACGTAAACCGACATAATTGTAAGGTAATATTACTCTGTCAACACTGAAACTTTTTTACGGAGTCCACATGCTTTATCAGATTTCATTTATCAAAAAAAGATACGCACCATTTTCGTAATGAATAGTTCGTATATATGGATATATATCCATATTATATCCATATTATATATGGATATATATACGAACTATTACAACCAACAAAATATAATATAAATATAAAACAATGATATATAAACAAAATATAAATTTTGGCTTCTTTTACTTGTCAATCTGTAAGTCAGGTGATTTAGGTGTCCAAATGGAGCAAAACAAGTTGATGAATATTAATTAGGTTAATGCTGTCGCAGATATTCCGAAAGATATCGAAGTCTAACGTAATCGCAGTTGATAGATTAATGATAGACGCCGATACGTTCGTGTTACAAGAAACTTTTCTTACGTGTGACTTAAGTCACGTAGAACCTGAGAATCTCATTTAGTAAAATGGTCTCTTCGATCGCCCAGGTATTACACCATTGGAGTGAATTACTTGTGGGGTGAAATGAAGGAATCCGCCTATATGTTTACGGAAACGCTTACGAAAATCGAAAAGAACTAAGGAATTCTGTTGCATCTGTAACAATGTAGCTATCGATTTCATTCGATTAATGGAATTAATTGATACTCTGACTGAATAACATATCATTCTCGCTTAAAATTCTTTTACAGGATGAAACTCTCGATCCTGGGCCTGAGAGGAATAAATAAAAGCTGGTTCGAGACTGCCAAATCATCACCTTCTAATTTGTGCATCTATAAACTTGTCTGTGAGCATCATTGTTAGTACTCGTTCGTATTCCACTTCTTTTTTGTTCCGCGGCGGCTCAACGAAAAAAAAGGATTATATCCAACCTTGATTCATCTTAAATGAGCGTGGCTATGAAAAGTGCGTAGTTCCGTTTGAAAGGAACAACCTTGATATCTCTTCGACTTCGTCGTGAACAAGACACCCTGTGTACAAGGTGGGCAATTTAAATGAGAGTACCTATCCATTGTTTAATGATCCATCTGTTACCGTTACATCGACGTGATTTGGCCACTATTTTGAACGTAATGGAACATGTTGTTAAAGTGTAAATACCTTGAGATCGGATACATCAAGTTTTGACACAGTGGGGATTATCTGATATTGTGGAATTTAACCTTTTCTCGTCTATTTATATTTAATTTTTTTCTTCAAGAACGTCATTTTCAGGTTTCAATATTTTCGACTTTATTGGATCGGAGTTCGATATCGAAACACATACGTTTTTAATAAATGCCGAACTGCGTCAATGAAATTGCCAAATCAGTTTTCCGCTTTAAAATTGGAAAACGGTATTTATTATTAATGTTTCCCTCGTTAGAAAAATTGCAGCGAGACAGGATAAGCTTTTGCCAACTCATAGCGTAACGCATCACGTTTTAACATATTGTTTCCCACTTGGGAAATGCTAATATTAGTGGAACTATGTCGAAGTTCAAATGTGTCGCGTATTGTGACGCCAGTGTGATGATTATAATTCAAAAGTTTCGATCTTTGACTTTGTTTTTAATATGAACTTGATACGTATGCTAAAACTTTCAACGAATGGAAAACTTATTCATCAAAGAGTAATTGCCTTTGCCTTTCCTTCAAAGTAGTGTGGTTTTTTAAATAGAGTCGGTGTCACTTAGACAGGACGATAATTTTCACACATACATTCGTTGAATTTGAGGCAAGTTTCAATGGGGCAAATTACAACTCCTCGCGCAGTTTTGCTTCTTTTCAGGCCCCACGTCTCTTCGTGTCGATCATTTTTCTTCTGGATTCGCTCGAACCAACCTGTTAACCAGCTTCGTTAAGAAAAATGCGAGTTTCAATTTTCATTAGCGTCGATGTTATTCGAACATGAATCCACCATTCTAGCGTGAAATTTTTAAACGTAACGATGAAATATGGGCTCACTTTGATCGGAACCGTACTCTTCTTATCGTATAACATGATATGTTTCAAATCATTTTTTGATGACCAGATAGTACGCTCTTTCCTTAGAAATTGTTATGGACACAATGTAAACAATTCCTAACCTTTGATCTACCGCAAACATACCACGTACTCCTTGATCTCGAGTGCAATTTTGTCTAACTATGGTCTTTAGACGTCATGCTGCTGTCGGCGCTAAACGTTTCCTTTTATCGATCATTATCGACGACGCAACAGAAAACATGTTATTTGCTATAAATCGATTACATTTTTTTCGCTTTAATAACAAATTCACGAAAATGTCTACGTACGCGTACCAGGAACGTAGCAATTTATGTCAACGAATAGTTCTCGTCTTTTAAATTTCTTTAAAAAGTCAGGCGATGAGAGAGTTTGAGAAACCCTGATCCAGATGATCATTTCGCCAATCTCTGAATGAAATGAAGATGACACTTGAGCGATGACGTCGACACGATCGATCCAACGTCCAAGTATTTTGTCGGGAATCAATAAAGCTTGCGAGGATTCCTCTGCCGCTTCGAGAAATATGCGTTAACGAATTGTAAATAATCGTTACTTCACATGTAAGCAACTGTAGTCAAGGTGACGAACGTCTCCGACACATTTCGCGAGATGAATTCGTGTCCGATTATTTTTTTTCTTTTCTTGGATCAATTTTTTCGCCGCATCCTCGACATTCACTTTCATACGAACATTTACGGTTTCATAGATGGACCTGGATGAAAAACTCACGATCATGCCGAGAAAAAAAAAAACACTGAATGTTAATATAATTTGTTGAGGTGTAAATTTTTCGCAGGATAATGATCTATAATTGCTTCATCACAGCCGACACATCAAACTTATTACACTATTAACTTCCGTCGGTGAGTTGATTGCATAGGTGAGACGAAATGACTTGATCATTTTGCTATTCGTATGTTGTTCGTAATTATGATGTTCATAAATATTCCTAATATTTCTGGCGAAATATGAATTGAAAAAAGTATAACAATCCTGTAATTTATGTCGAAGGCCACACAATTTTTTGTTATATTCTCTCAAAACAAATGGCGCTTTGGAGGAATAGTTTTTTCAAATGACTTACCATTTCGATGATGTTCTCCCGCGAGCAATTATTACGATGCTTATGACATCTTTGGTGGCCTTGATACGAACGCCCGAGAACCACACGTAGGACGGTCAGTGATCCGATGTTCCTTTTCAATGTCAGCGATGGACGTGTTGAAGGCCTTGAAGTCGCAGGAGGAAAAGTGTAGTCTCTTTGTAACAGCTAGGACCTTGGGAGGAAACATTAGAATCTGCGCCGCAATTTTATTCGACCGGATTAAGTCACTTAGGCAGTATTATAATGTGTTATTTATATTGTAGAATTCGTTTATAGTCCATCCGTTTATAGTCACTTGCGTAACTTGCCTGCGTTTTCCAGACACTCTTCGTTTGGCCACGTTCGCCATAGTATCTTTCCTATTTCATATTTACAGGACAAATGGACTCTTGTCCTCTGACGCTCTAGCAGGCTCTTCTACCGCGTGAATTTCCCTAACTCGAAAGACCGGTGTGTGGAAACGCGTATAGAACTACGTTTCGTAAAATCTATGTCTTTATTAATCTCGTTAACCACAACTTGGAAAAAGTGACGAGTAAACGATAACTTGAACGTAAATGTAGTATAATATACGCCTGACTGAACAAACCCGAGTTATCGATCGATAATTCGTGGGTACATATTTGAAGTTGATCCCGAACATTGATCGTCGCTCGCAAACGACAAGATGACGGAATCGCAGTAGTGATGGGAATGATACCGAGTAAACACTATCGATGTCAGACTATAAATAAAGAATCTGGTATCGGACAATACCAGCCATGTAAGTATCAACCAGGATCGATATCCGTTCGATACTTCGCCAAAATATTCATACCAAACCGACTCGATAGTACCGCTAAGCTACTGTACTCGTGGAATCGCTGGCGCTGCTTACATTATCGTTATAAACTATGCGATCGTAGATGCTAAGTTCTGCCTTCTGTTCCCATCAGTTCGAGCTTCCGGGGGTAAATAATTTATGACGTAAAAATAGGATTACGTCGAATTACGGTGGTATCTTACAACTGTGTTTCTTGGAATTGTAATTATAAACCGCCGAAAAAAAAAAAGTAAAAAAATACATAATCAAATCCTTTACTTCTGATTACTAGGTAGAAGATAGATAATAGATGGAAGATTAGATTTTATAGTTATTCGAAGTTGTATCTGTTTGCTTTCGCTAGTAGTTTCTTACCGATTAGATCTTGTCCGATTAGCGTTGTTTGCAATTTGGATAATCGAAGACCCCTGGAAATTAACCTTTACACGATAAGGTTCCGGTTTATATTGTTACTATTCCTGCTTCTGGTATTGTATTCAAAATTTCACCTATGCGTATTCTCACTGAGAAAACGAAAGCTTCGCGTAAAGCGAATCAATAACACACGAGCTAGTTACGAAACCGATAACAGGTTGAGCGACCAACAGCAATTTTGAAGTAAACAAGAAACTCAAATTACCAATTTTTTGTCTGCTCTTCTCAACTCTGTTTCTCCTACAGAGCCAACTGGTATAAAATTTATCTTCCTTCTGATTCGCGAATCATGGAAGACCGAATTAATCCTTGTTTTAGCAATATCCTTCTCCAACTGGTTGGTTACACATTATATTCCCGTGTAGAGTACGAGTTACACGGCCAGTCTTTATATAATTGCACTAGATGTGCCGCTGGCGTTCCCAGAATTCCCTTAATCGCGCTCGAGGCGGGGACATCATGGTGTTTTTAGTGGGCAGGTCCTGCATTCGATGCAGTGAATCCCAACGCAACCTTCGGGCTTCCTAACCTGTTGAGGAACTCTTCCAATGATACCCCCACGACAAAAACGAATCTTCATCTAATTACAGAATAAAAAGGTGCTCTAACGTCAAAATAACTGGAGGAAATACCCAGTAACCTACAATCGCCTCACAACTACAGCAGAAGACAAGTAATAAGCATGGTCTCTGTGCAACAAATAAGACTGAGGGTAGTATCATGAGCATACTGTTTAAAGTTAGTACTCATTGGACTGGTTACCTTGATTATTCCAATAATTTCCCACGGTAATCGTGGTTCCACTGCACCTTCTTCTACATACTTCGTTATTTACAGCGAGTAAAAGTACTAGGAAGTCCAGCGTGCTGTTTGGTTCGGTTAACGCGTAATACTCGAAGCCTTCCGCATCGAATAGTTTTGCTACATAATCGTATCGATCCTCATCGCTAATTCACAGATGGAAATAGTACTAGAGAAAAGAAACAGCACGAGCGATCGCGAAGGGCAACAAAAGGCGTGCAACGAATCGTGTCCGCGAAGTCGCGCGTCGGCTGCCGAAGGATCGCCAAAAGAGTAGAAGGGATGCGGTACCAATATGGCGGCTCGGTTAAAAGCAATCCACCGGCGTAACCACTGTCAGTCCGCGACTTGGCACGACGGTAGCGCGTTCGTTCGCATGAGTATAATCGGTGTCGCGAAACAAAAAAAACACACAGCTTCTCTACCCTTTTCTTCCATATAAAATATACACGTATATTTAAGAGAAAGCACTCGATTTCTATTTTTATATACAGATATTTTTGACTCTCTTAATTTTCGATAAGTACACGTTTTCAAGAGGAGACTTCGCCGTGAAGTAATGCTTCTGTAACCGATCCGCAATAAGTCGTCGCGAATCGTAGAACCGTCGTGCCCGGCAATTGGTTCACGTTCTCGTCTTACCGTGTCTCGAATTCACTCTCTGGAGCAGCAGATCGGCGCGAAATCGCTGGCTGAGATCAGTTCACGTTCTTGTAGATAATTCGATCGTCGTCAAGTGTCAACGTCTGAGAAGAAACAAACGAGACAACAGAGTGTGTGTTTCCCATTGTGAAGAGGAAGAGACCGTTACGCGAGATCGACGTTCTCCAACCTTTTTCTTCGGTAAGTGAAGAAAGTAGCAAGCTAACCGGGGAACCGGGTAACCAGACAACCCACGACTACTTTGTCTCTCTTTCTGACGTAACGAATCGACCGTCACACGGAAACGATCTCGCAAAAGGCCTGGTCTGGCGCAGCCAGAGTCGCTCAATGAAACGACAGCTCGCGGAACTCATGCTCGTTGACTTTCGCGCGCGTTTCCATCGGCGACCGTTGGGCGCAACCAACGAACCGGCGAGATCAGTTCTTGCTTCGATCGTTAAATCGGTTACCAACGGATAGAAACGGGTCTGAAAGTCGATTCATTTGCGTTTACTCTGGTTCGATAAGTACACAATTTGTTGACTTACGATCTATTCTTGAACTTGTTCTAAAAAATGTAAAAATATTTCGTGAGAATAATTTATATATGTATATATTCGATATAAAATGTACAAAATTCTTAACAACAGAAACGAATTGCTCAAATTATTCAAGATAGTAATGAAATATAACATGTTGAATAAATTATAATTACGTAGTCACTAATAACCTCGTAGTTGATGTGACCTTAAATAAAGTAATTAAAAATTAAAAAAATAGATTAGAGTATGATTGTTTAGAATAAGAATATCGTTCTTTAAAAGCTCGAAGAGTGCCCCAAACGAGGGCGGACAGAACCTGAGGAATCAAACCAGCAGATCCGAGAGGAACGGATAAAACGCTTTCATGTGCTATACATGCACACACTGAACTACATCGAACTGCTGAAACAGAGTTTCTAAACTAGGACGTAGATCCGTGGAGCAAGTTGACAGAATCGTTAAAGTCGTTCGTAGTCGAGAGCATTCCGCTGATGCAATTTCGTTTCCCTAAAGGAGCCCTGCATAGAAAACGGTAAATTTAATTAATTCTCATCTATCTGGGTTGTCGATAGATCAACATTAGAATTCATGATAGTTTCAAACTTTGAATATAAATGATAAGGTTTGTTACGCATCGCCTGTGTTTAATCATACAGCGAGCTCTTACGTTACGCGATTAATCGCAAATAAACATTGTTTTCTAGGGAGAAAGAAAGGTTAATTTCTGGTTAAAAACAATGTGGTACCCATGTGAACAGAGTTGATTAAATTTTGTTTTGTCACAGACCCTGCGAAGGCTGACCAGCACGTCTGGCCCAGTACGGGGCAAAGTTCTGTTGAATATTTTTAATATTCAAACTTTACAAACGTGAATCAAATGTCAATGTTTATTTAATGTCCAAGTGCACGCACGCAGGGAATACATGTAAGTCTATCCTTGTAATTCGTGGGCTGACTGTATTTCTAACGAGTTAGGAATGTCATCATAATTGCGACACGTTATATCCGTAGGTCCATCAATCTTGTAAGAGTACCTTGAATATTTTTATCGAGGACCGTCGAGTAACTCACCATGACTTCATTAAAATTTAATTGAAACTTATTACTTACTTACTATATCTTTCCGATATGTTTCAAACAAATTAACGCTTCACTTTTGAAAGTATAAGTACCCCATCTAATGTTCATCTTTCACTTTTGAATCGATTTTCCTTGTCTCCGACCAATGTCACGAATGTAGTCACATCGAACGGTCGCGTAAAGTTCTTTGCTTCCACTTTCATGCTCGCCCTTCGGTGAATCATCGACCGTGCGAGGAGTCGATTTGAGTTCGATTCACGTTCCACTCGTTCGCCACGCGCTTTATTCGAGGGGCGTGTTTGAAGTCATTGGATGGTCTTAGCTGTTGTCGAAAGTGTTTCGAAGGCCGAAAGTTTTGATTTCGTGAGTCCCCTGTCTCGACTTCTCTGATTTTTTTTTTGTAGCCATACTCCAACGTGTCAGGATGTTCTAAAGTGATTTTCGAAGACGACAGGTTTTCTGTTTCCTCAGTATATACTTAGTAGTATGGTTTTCTTGCGTCAAATTAAAACGCATGATTGTATTTCATCGTCACCCATTCGAAGTTGTTGTAGATTTTTCTTTTGTAAATTAAAAACGAGCGGTGTTAAAACTTTTTGGGACACGTGTAGGAACATCAAGTGTACGATTAACATAACCATAGAGCAATGTAGTATTTTAAGATGAAGCACTCTCGTAGGGTCGTTGAAACTCTAGTACTTCCTTTCCGCGAACAGATGAGCAATTCCAACGACAAAGGAACATTTTGTGTATTCCTTCGATTCGATGCACGATTCGAAGCGCATATTAATGGTCGTCAACGATCGACGACTCCTTGGATCGAGAGCCGGAAGAAGCGAAAGGATCTTTGATCCTTGGTCTAATTGCCGATGCGACCCTCGAAACGCTGTGTCCTTCGCACTGTCTGATGAAAACCTGCGCGTCTTCCGCAAAATTTCGCGAAGATCTAGAAATGTCAAGGTTTGCGCGATTAGCATACCTGAAATGTTTTCCAATTCCTCGAACAACACCGAGATTTAAGGAACGTTCTTTTGTTTCCTCGTGCTGACTCGTCTATCCTCGGTAATATTTTCGTGTCCTTGCGAAACGTGGAGGACTTGGTCGTATTTATCAATCAATTTTTTATGCCTATTACCAATTTTTCATCTTGTTTACCTCTGCGCTGTCCAAGCAACCTTATTTTTTTTTTTATTATTAAGAAATCGTGACGGTATCATTGATAAATTTACTATTTGAATTTTGATCGGAACCTTGAATCATGTTTCACCGAACGAAGGCCTATCGAGTCAAGATTTGGTTTAATCGAAGGTTTCAGTTTCAATATCTCGTGAATCCACACGTTACGGAACCCTTATCAGCGATTTATAGTCTTATCTAGGCGGAAAGATTCGTATCTTTTTAACCCACTTACAAGATGAACCGACGGAACCTCGGTTCATACTGCAACGAGAGAGTTTGCTGGCTCTAATTGAAAACTGATTACCCTTCGCTGACACAGCTGCAACATTTTGCAATATTTAGTTTCTTTTTCTTTCGTTTTGTTTGTAATCTCACGTGTATCTCAAGAGCTGGTGGCGCTGGAATTGCAAGATAACTTTCGTTTTACTATATTCTATAATTATATATTCTCATGATATTTTGCTACCGGTTGCGATATTAATGACTCCACAAATTTTAATATTTAAGAATCGTACACCGAAAGAACAGCCTAGCATGCGACGAATTTCTTGATTTTAGATTGGATCTCTAGACATTTTAATTCATTGCTCGGATAGTAATTGGACTTTCGAAAACGAATCATTACCAAAATCTGCTCGGTTCTTTTTCGAAAGTAACTATAAAATCTGCAAGAAATATATTCATTAACGGTTTCCAATTCACGAATGAATTCACTATTGAAATTGTATTCGCTATTCGAATGTGAGTTTCCCACGACTATTTGTACAATACATGTATAATACAGAATTTGTTTTGCTATAAGACGGGTTTTTGTACTTTTGAATTTCATTAGTTTTCGTTAGCGTCTATAGCGCCTTGGAATGTATAATTTGATTGCCAAAAGGACCTGTTAATCTGGTACGCATATTCATGCTACATCGTTAATAATGCATGTTTCCCTGTCAAATGATGCCGCGGATAGAATTATTTGTCGGAATTGGCGAATATCGAATCGAACAACGAATTGACATTACGACCTCAACGTCTGTGGACCTTGGACGTACGGTAGCGTCTTTCGAGATTCGAGGTGAATTTACAATCGCCTCATGTACTTTTATTACAATAGTGCTATACGATTTGAATTCGTTGAACTCGAACATTTCATAAAATTGACCTTTGCTAATAAATTTTCCGTGACGCTATTACGGGTTTCAAGTAAGTACTTTTTTGATTATAAATGAGAAAATGCTTTCTTCAAAAGATTTATTAAATTTCCACGGTTTCTTCTACGATTTCGTTTGTATCTATTTATTTCTTTCGAAAGAAACTTTGCTTTTACGATTTCTGACCTCTGATTGCTAACTATGTAATAGCGAGCAATTGCATGCTTACAAATCCTTTTAATCCACGGTAAGAGACGTGTTAGGGAAAATGTTCTGTCGCAAAGTCTTCTTCTCCCACATATACCGATGCTTGTTGTGCCTGGATCCTATTGACAGATGTTAGAGTACGCTAGTACCCGCGGCGATTGCGAAACCGTTACTTTAAACACGTGTCGTAGGAAGATTTACCAACGAGGAATTAAGTTTATAATGCAAATGACAACTTATTCAGGAGTCGTTGAACTCGTAAGACATTTATTGGGATCACCGTTAGGATTCCTGAATTTCGCCTGAAATATATTAACATTAAATGCGAAGAGTGATGGGCGTCGACTGATAGCTCGGCGCATAATTGCCAAAATTCATCCGGAGATCAACGACTTCTCGGCATAATATTCGGCACACGAGTCGGTTCGTTCGCGCGGTCTACTAATCTGTGCTTGTGTTGGCTATTACGTGAGAGGACGTTGCGACACACCAGCGAATTTTCTGAAAGAGGGCGAAACGAGTTTTGCTTTCTCTCCGATTAATTTTTCGCTATTTTTCTATTTCTTCAAAATGGTTCGATACGTTAATTATCGACCTGTGCGCTGCCATTTATGAAGAGTATTCTAATCTCCTCAGTCTTGAAAATGACTTGGAAGAAACTGCCTAAACGTAAATGGAAATTGACACGTCTCGTCATAGAAATTAACGTTTGTATCGCCGAGTTAATGACGGAGTTGTTGAATTGGAATTGATTAAGAGTACCAGAGATACGGGCAAACGGAAAAAAAATACTAATGTTTGATACGATGTTTATGTATGGAACAAAGTGGTGTTTAGACCAAACTAATGAAGGAAGATTAATATTAATTTCCTTTCATTGTCTACAACAAAAAATTTATCAATTCTAGACTCATCCGTCATTGCACGATTAATTGTCCATTCGCGACGAAAGATTGAGACAGCTTTATTGACCCGTGCGACGCGATAAATGCTCTACTTGATGGACTACTAAGGGGAGAGACGTTTAATCGAGATATTAAAATAAAATCAA